CTGCCATTGTAGGGTGTTTTATTATAATAGGATTCTGTTATTAATGCGCGTCAGTGGATTTTTCCTCCACTGCAAAGTAACAACTCAGCAACTTCGTCACAACTCTGCCTACGGCTCCAATTCGCCTCCCGTCACTGTAAGTTACTGGAGAAAACTGGACCTATTGAGAATTCGAAGCGTTCCCCACTGTTTGCAATCAAAATACTTCAACAACTGTATTTGTAAGACTGTTGTTGAAAGATAATTCAAACTTATAGTAACATACGGTAAGCATTCTAATATGCATTTCCACCTTATTAGGAAGATAAAACATCCCTGAGGAGAATGACAAATTATTGAAAATATCCCATTGTGTTCGACCGGAAGTGCGTGTTGGGAGAATACGCGATATTTACAAGTAGAAAATACGTCAATGTCTTCGTATGTTTTGTAAACTGTCACTGGCACGTGTACTATTTGCATTATCTGTGATGTACGTTACCTTTCTGTGCAATGTGCACGTCGATTCCGTCAAATACAAACCGAGAAACGGCTTGCACAAAAGTTTAGCGTTCCGCCATCACATTTGACCGTGAGGGGGTTCGTTGAACTCTCCCAAAGAGTGTCGAGACGGAGTTGCTTCCCTTTGAACATCTGCGTTGTTGGTACAAACACAAAGTTTTGTATCAGTTAGGGACTATGTGGTACAGACGTACACGTGGTGTGCAATTCAACAAGATATTTCATGTATTTTCTGCGCACATTGAGTTCTTGTAATAAATTCAGATACTATTGATGTTGCGACAATTATCAGTATATTCATTATCTCTGCAATCACAAATCAGATATAATTTGCGAAAATAGTATAGAGTGAGTGAGTAAGTTTAGTTTTACGCCGCACTCAGCAATATTCCAGCTATATGGCGGCGGTCTGTAATAATCGATTGTGGACCAGACAATCCAGTGATCGACAGCATGAACATCGATCTACGCAATAGGGATACTATAGCCAGTAAAAACTGCACTGAACCTAGACATTTGTGTTTAACCTGGCCAGAAGGGTGTTATGGGTCACCATAAAAAACCCAAAGAAAATCAAGGTTGGGGAAATATATTTTTTGTACATGGTTTTGGGGGTGGGGTCTATTGGTTTATCTTCATACTGGTTAGTATTTTCATTTATAAAAAAGCTTACTTTCATCAAAATGTAAAATATTTTAATTATTTACCGATGTCGGCCATCTTGAATAAACAATGGCCGCCATTTTTAATTCAAGATGGCCGCCATATCACAATCAAGAATATCAGCTTCTATTGACTCTACTGTATATGAGGTCGTGAATCTCAAGGTTTATGGTTTCAATAATTTTTGTTATATTTCATTAACTTGCTCTTTAAATTGCCTCATTTCAATAAGAAATATTCACTGACATCAATCTTTTGCAATGTTTGAATGAGTTTGGGATCAAAATTCTGTTTGAAGAAAACGGAGCGAGATGCAAAAACTGTTTGCCTTTCTTGACATTAGTTTGCTCTGGTTAATCCTGTCTCATCAAATACAGTGTTGTACCTGACTGAAGCTGTTGGAAATCTCATAATACACTGAATATTTTGGACAGTATCATTCCACATGTGATCGTCCAGCTCCATTAATTATAAAATATGTATAAGTATCCATTTTCTGTCAGTTACACTTTATTTCGAGGCGTGAGTAGACAGAATATGATAGTGATTGCTGTGAATAAGTTATAAATATCTGAGGGACACACGATTTCACTGCAGATAATAGAAACATTCTTTTTTAACATTTTGAGTAAAATTACCGTCTCGTTGTTGATACCAACAGTGATTGTTATGACATAAAAAGGAAAACAAACACAGGTGCACATTATGGATCAGTAAAATCTTTATTAGAACGGTAACGGTAACTGCCAGTTGTCTTGTGGTCTTGTGGACTTCATCTATACAAGTGAGCAAGCACAACCAATGTCCTTGAGACAGAAATTTAAACATGCTTATTTTTATTTATTTATTTATTTATTATTATATGATATTTGTATAGCGCCAATATCCAGCTTAGCTCAGCAATGCGCTTTGTTTTTCCCTCGATCATAGGATGTCAATCTCAACGGCACATCATATTTTTCAACCTCAACTCTCTGAGGACCATACAACTCTTGCAGCCATTTAGGCGCACAAGGTTAATGTGGCTTTCTCACCCTTACGAAAAACCCATTTACAGCTGGGTGGACTGGGACACATAGTCACAGTACGTTGTCCAAGTTTACTGCACGTTGCTGTACCCGCAACTTGGTGTTTGCACGTATTCATGCGGCCACCATCTGCTCATATACCAACAGATTCGTGGGTTATTTTAAGTGTACAGGGCTGTGTACTGTACACTAGGGGTTGTGACAACACTAAAAGAGTCTGTACACAAAGTTGACTTTTCTCCCTCTGCTGAAAATATCGATATTGCTGATTGCTGAATTTCTGTTTGGATGTTATTGAAGTTATTGGACAAAGTTAATTTTATTTGATTAAAGAGTTGATTGTAAAGAATCATTACAAAGAGTTGATACTTTGAGTAGAGTGTTTAAACCCTTGCCTCCTAGTTTCACTTCTCCTGAACCATTGTGACAAATGACACGTCATGTTGGAGATCGAAACATATCTGTAAAAAAAATAAAAAATCAATTAAACTTATGATTAAAAATAGGCATATTTGGACATATTTTGTGGCCAATTATTATTGAGAATATATATATAAACCTGTTTCACATCTCATATATTTCCTTAAGTGTGATAAATAGTACATTTGATATTTTCCCAAAACATCTGCATGGAGTAAAAAATAAATCCCAATAAGCATATTTTGACATGTTAAATTACAAACAACTTTCTGTGTTAATAATCAGTAAATAGAAGGCAATTATGTATATTCACTTAAAGAACAGTGGAAATGAAATGATATTTCATCTAGACTTCAAACATAAAACTTTACTGGTTGTTTAACATGCAGGTTTGTTGCACATGTTTTGTAGTTTTGCAAAATTATCTCAAACTATCTGCATTGATATACTGGGTTTCAATGGAGAATACAACTCTTTCACTTGAAATATGTTATTGAAATATCACCTAATAATTAAAATATTCCTGAATTATATAGTTCCATTAATAATAACACTATCAAAAGTACTTTTGCAGGTGATATTCTAAGTAAAACAGTACATTTACATCTGAAGGGTATTGACATACACATATCTATAATATGTTGTCAAGAAAATAGTTTTTGACATTGACCTCGGCATCAATACAGGCTTTTTATTACCTTGAAAAATAATTACTTTTTGGGACTAATGTTAATTAATTAGGCAATAATAATTGATGTACCATAACATTAAGTGCTATGCACCTTGTAGTGAGGTTATAATTCAATATAAACAACTAATTATGAAAAGTAAACATAGATGGCTGCAGTCTATTTATAGTAACACCATGAAAAAGATCTTGAAGTCTTTGATTTTGCCCTAATGTGTGTAAAAACTAGCCCAGAATAACTTGCCAGTATATGGCTATTATTTGTACTGCATGTAACTTTTTACTGTAAGTTAAAATCATATTTGGAGAATATAAACATTGATTGTTTGGCACTGTCATCATGTTTCTGCTTAGTGGTTGCAAAGTCACCTTCTTCTATTTTTTATTTAATATATGTCCATGCTTAACATGTGGATATTGCATCTGAGGGGTATTTATATGCATTTGGTAATGTCTGTGTTTAATTTTATTCATACATACCCAGATTTGGTCCACTTTGACAGGAGCTTGGCAGTTGACAGCTGTTTGTTTACATAGCAACGGTGTTATCTTCTTACGACTGCTTTTGTGTAGTTTGCTGCAAACAAAGCTTTGGGACCTTTTTTGGACACCCCCAAAACATATTTCCCCACTCTTGATTTTTCTTGGGTTTTGTGTACATGATAAATAAATAAATAAATTCTAACCCTGATCTTCACGGGTGTATAGATATAATATCAGTAATAACCATATATTATACCACTGAAAATATATATCTTTTATGTCAATCCCAAAAGTTGTTAGTTTTATTTAGTTTTATCAGACACGTGGTCATGCCCCAAAGATGGACATCTCTCCGAATACCTTTTAGAAAATATTATGTATTATCAGTAGTACATTGCGAATGCAACTTTGAGAATAATTCTATGGGCAGCATTTATTATATATTTTATAAAAAAAAAAAACTTTGACCAAACCAAACCCAAAAAAAACAAACCCAAAAATAAAACAAAACAAGACAAAAAAACAAAAAAAAAACCCGCCCAAACCAATAAAAATCCCCCAAAACAACAAACAAACAAAAAACAACAAACAAACCCAAAACAACTTTTTTCCTACCAATACCGGCCGCCGACTCGAACCTATAAAACGTACCGCCGCATCATATAAAATGTTTATCTTTTAATCAGTCGCTGCTACAAACCCAAAGAACGCGAGAAATTGTAATAAGAATTACAATAAATGAGAATCAAGATCATTATTCAGATAATTTTGTCTATATTATTTTTTTATTTTACCACGACTGACCGACCCATTATCAGAATTTGGTGGCTACGTGAAACACATAAAAAAAATTGATGCCCTAAAATAATTTTTCCTGCCACTGATAAGATCTTGAGTGGGAGTGAATGGATGCTGAGATAAGTTACATGGACAGGACACTGCCCTTAAATAGATAACAATACAACAGAAGGAAATCACGACTTCGGCAAACACGCGTGTACCAAATGGCGAGAAGTTCCTCATCGACTTATAACATTCATATCATTAAAACTTTAAATAGCGTCGTGTCCTAAAGCTAATGGAAACAGTGTTTATATTTCAACACAGTTTACGCAATATGTAGTCAGCATGTTGTATCTGTGTTTCACAAGCAGGCAAGACCTTGTAAAGGAAGCCCTTTGTGAACGTGGAGTTATAATCAGTGACAACATTGGCCTGAGTAGGATTATCCTTCCGGACGCGGACCGACTGTACGTCCTGTCGAGTTCAGTCGTGTGTGCGACAAGTATGTCCTGTCAACTACTGCTGAGTGCGTAATGGCGACAAGTGTGCCCTGTACCAGGTCTACATAACCAGTGACCCGGAACACACCTCCAGACGACAGTTTCTAACTATGTGGATATTTACTGGGTTGAAAGACTGTGATTGATGCTTCAAGGTAAATCAACAATGTTTATATTACATGAAGGGTGGTGATCCAGAGTTGGTGAAACTCAGGTGTCCGGGCAAGTATTTTCTATGTACCTGCGGTTTGGGAGACTGCCGGTTGAGGTAAGGTCAGGTGACTGTCCACCTCCCTCAAATCTCACACGGATATACAGTGTGTATCTGGTCTTCCCCAGGGTGGGTTAAGTTAAGACCCCACCCCCCCTCAGACGGGTTTAGCAAGTGTGTCCTGCACCCACTGCCTGTACCTCAGTTGTTAGTAAATATTACAGGGGAGGATACACCTTTTGGAGAAAGGGTGGGCGCATAGTTAATTTTCACCCGCTTTCAAGACAGTTTTGAAATGGTCTCTGCATTGGTCACTCCTGCACCTCCCCTCTTGGTCCGCCTATGTTAACTGACAAATCGTGGTCTGTGATCAGGGAATTATATATGTACCGTGTTTAGGGCTTTTCGCTTCCATCGTAACAAATATTCCCCTGAGCTATAAATAGTTATGAGTGTGTACAGTCTGTTGACATACAGGCATACTATGAGTCAATAAGCTACTATTGTGACATTATGTAGCTGATGACGTAAAAGTAGCTTGAGTCGTCCATGTCCGTTACAGCTGTTGCATCCTCACAAATAATTCGCAGAGGAAACACATAGGACGCAGAGTAAACAAAACAGAATAAATACATAAAGCAGAGTAAACACACAGACGCAACAAGAGTAAACAAATAGGACGCAGAGAACCCCGTCCTGTTTACTGTCTTGGGTGATCAGTGGTTGTAGTGCTCGCCTTCAAGGCATGTCAATCAACTGTATGATTTCCAAGTTCAACAAACCCGATCCCATTTTTAATATATTGCCTAAGAAAAAAACATCCACTATGCAGAGAGAGTCAGGCCACACAACTTATTCCCAGGTTTCTTCAATTCAGACATGTGATGCAGGTGATTTCAAGTCATTGTTATCAACAGGTCGGGCATGTGAAGTTGTTGTCAACAGGTCAGACATGTGTCATTGTTGTCAACAGGTCAGACATGTGTCATTGTTGTCAACAAGTCAGACATGTGTCATTGTTGTCAACAGGTCAGACATGTGTCATTGTTGTCAACAGGTCTGACATGTCATTGTTGTTAACAGGTCAGACATGTGTCATTGTCAACAAGTCAGACATGTGTCATTGTTGTCAACAGGTCAGACATGTGTCATTGTTGTCAACAGGTCAGACATGTGTCATTGTTGTCAACAGGTCAGACATGTGTCATTGTTGTCAACAGGTCAGACGTGTGTCATTGTCAACAGGTTAGACGTGTGTCGTTGTCAACAGGTCAGACATGTGTCATTGTTGTCAACAGGTCAGACATGTGTCATTGTTGTCAACAGGTCAGACGTGTCATTGTTGTCAACAGGTCGGACATGTGTCATTGTTGTCAACAGGTCAGACATGTGTCATTGTTGTCAACAGGTCAGACATGTGTCATTGTTGTCAACAGGTCAGACATGTGTCATTGTTGTCACAGGTCAGGTCAGACATGTGTCATTGTTGTCAACAGGTCAGACATGTGTCATTGTTGTCAACAGGTCAGACGTGTCATCGTTGTCAACAGGTCAGACAGGTGTCATCGTTGTCAACAGGACAGACATGTGTCATTGTTGTAAACAGGACACTGACATGTGTCATTGTCAACAGATCAGACATGTGTCACTGTTGTCAACAGGTCAGACGTGTCATTGTTGTCAACAGGTGAGGCATGTGTCATTGTCGTCAACAGGTCAGACAGGTGTCATCGTTGTCAACAGGACAGACATGTGTCATTGTTGTAAATAGGTCAGACATGTGTCATTGTCAACAGGTCATACAAGTGTCACTGTTGTCAACAGGTCAGACATGTGTCATTGTCTTCAGGTCATACAAGTGTCGTCAACAGGTCAGACATGTGTCATTGTTGTCAACAGGTGAGGCATGCACCCGACTATACGTACTTGCGTATCTCACTTGCAGTATTACAGGTAGAAGCGAAAGCCATGTCAGCAAAACCTGTCTTTTGTTAGGACGTGAGTTCAGCCTATATCACGTCGTTTATCTCTAATGTCACCATTATCTAAATAGTCACATATAGGACAATTGGTTCTTTCCTACATAAGCGGAGAATACTGTCTCTCTGTCATACATATCGACATTCATCGCCCTAATAACTCGCAAAAAAGTTCTTCCTCCTTCCGTCAAAGAATACTTCAGGAATATTTTGTGTGTATATTTTAGATACTAGTACGTCTTGTATCTAAAAATATACCTACAGTGTAGGATAGAGTTTATTGCATTCAGTTATACTGTATATCAACTTTAGTACGATGTTGTAAATAGCATCTGTGAAGCATATGAATTATAGCGGAATATACGAACATGAATCATATAACAGTCCAACGAGTTGACGGTACTTTTAGCGACACGTGTCCTCGAAGGATTTCATGTTGGCATTAGGAACATCAGAACAACTTCAAACAAGAACGATAACTCTGTTGCCTAACACTCGCATATTGCTGTCTTTAAAATAAGTAAACGTATTTGATATCATAGTGATAACATCAATGATAATTAATGAATTTTGTCCCTTTCTACAGCAATGTCATTGGCAAAATTTAAGAAAAGCAGGATATACATGCGGAATTCTCCTGTGAAATGTCTCGCTTGTATTCCAAGTACACTGTTCCCCATTAGGGAATTCCCTCGTCTGTGACTGTCATTCTCCGACAATCCGTCGTGGTGAAAGTGATGGGAATAGCTGAATATTTTACATTCATTGGAACTTTGAATGTTATAACACGTGACAACTTCAGCCAATCAGAATGCAGGAATTACTATGAACACTACGAAAATTTAATTATTCAAAGTTATTGCCGTGAGCCTTCTGTAGGCAACGAACAGGCCATCTTTGATACGAGGGACAGTCAAAAAGTAGTCGGCCTGACCTAGTAAATGATACAAATGCAGCTGTTTTTATGTTTTATTTTTCTACATATTATCTGTCAACCTCAAGCAAATTGGTTTTGCGAAGTTCCAGCCCTACGATCCCCATTTTCTTTGACATTTTATCTTGGTACCCCCCAAAAGCGCAAAATCTGCAATAAATGCACCACAAACTTCAGGTAACAAAATATGCAAGAAACATTTTGTGTGTTTGAGATAGGTAGACGTCCGCTAGAATCAAACAAGTGTCAACTCTCAGTATATTGTAAACAGGGCCAGCTTGAATATCTGGACACAATGTTTTTGAAAGACTAAAACGGGGGCGTCCTTAAAAGAAACAGCCCCCGACTAAATATGAATCAAGCAATCCAAAGCTTTGACTCTTGATTATGACGGGAAGTCATCCAATACTATACTAACACATTTTATATGACATTATCTGAGGGCATACCATTATCCAAGAGGTACTAAATGACATATCGTTTTTCATTTTGCTGCATTTTTTCTAGAAATATTATACCCAAATGTGTTGTGATGACTAATATCTCGTTAATCACATTACCCACATATGTGAATTTTTTTATACGGCTTCGCTAATGATTCCTACAAACTAAAAGTAAAATGGAAGCTTTTCAAACATTGGACATCGAGAATATAGTTAGGCCGACTACTTTTTGACCGACCCTCGTACAGTCAACTCTCATTAATCCGACACTTGTGGTTGCAGAGAAATATGTCGGATTAACGAAAATGTCGGATCAATGTATTTGTGTGAAAATATCAATGTTTACTAAATGTCATGATCGTCATACTGTTGCATGCAAATCAGAAATGGTAGATCTAGTTATCTTCATCGTATGTAAATATATTCACAGAAATAAAAAATGATAACAATATATCCTTGTTATCATTTATTAACATTCATAGATGGCATAACATACATATATAAACACATAATCAATCAGTTTCAAATCTATTTCATACCACATTGGCACAAAACTCACGTTTGTTTTTACCGCATATCAGCAGCCATTATGACCCGGATGTTGAATATGTTACAGTTTCCCTACAACTAATTCCATACTAACATGTGGATGTGTTTATTCTCCCATTGAGGGGCGGTGGGGTAGCCTAGTGGTTATAGCGTTCGCTCGTCACGCCGAAGACCCGGGTTCGATTCCCCACAAGGGTACAATGTGTGAAGCCCATTTCTGGTGTTCCCGCCGTGATATTGCTAGAATACTGCTAAAAGCGGCGTTAAACCAACGTCACTCACCAACTCTTCCATTGAAGTTTCAGACGCCAGGGCGAGTAGTCGACGGAAGGGACGAGGGAGAGGTGTTGCTGTGGTGATGTGTGTCTAGCAGAAACATCCCAATGAAGAGGACGTCAGGAGAATGTTGTTTCTTTACAGCGCTTCTGGGTGAGATAAGTGATGGGGTTCTAGCTCCCCCAGCCAAATAACCATTTCAGTATGTCCGTTTCAAGAATCTGCAAACTGCTTGTCTGTGACCCCGAAACCTCTGATGCAGGTAATCTGGTAATGATTGCTGAGTGAGTGAGTGGCTTCGTCGCCACAAGTAGAAGTTTGAAATGATGCTGTCCTCGAATATTACGTCTTTCAATACTGGCTCACCTGATTTACCTATGACTGACTCACCTGATTTACCTATGACTGACTCACCTGATTTACCTATGACTGTTTACCTGATTTACCTATGACTATTTACCTATGACTGACTCACCTGATTTACCTATGATTGTTTACCTGATTTACATGACTGATTCACCTGATTTATTTGTGACTGACTCACCAGATTTACCTCTGATTGTCTCACCAGATTTACCTATGATTGTTCACCTAATTTACACGGGTTCGATACCCTACATGGGCACAATGTGTTAAGCCCATTTCTGGTGTCCCCCGCCGTGATATTGCTGGAATATTGCTAAAAGCGGCGTAAAACTAAACTCAGTCAGTCAGCCTAATTTACATATGACTGACTCACCTGATTTACATGACTGATTCACCTGATTTATTTGTGACTGACTCACCAGATTTGCCTTTGACTGACTCACTAGATTTACCTATGACTGACTCACCTGATTTACCTATGATTGTTTACCTGATTTACATGACTGACTCACCTGATTTATTTGTGAGTGACTCACCAGATTTACCTTTGACTGACTCCCTAGATTTACCTCTGACTGACTCACCTGATTTACCTATGATTGTTTACCTGATTTACATGACTGACTCACCTGATTTATTTGTGAGTGACTCACCAGATTTACCTTTGACTGACTCACTAGATTTACCTCTGACTGACTCACCTGATTTACCTATGATTGTTTACCTGATTTACATGACTGACTCACCTGATTTATTTGTGACTGACTCACCTGATTTATCTATCATTGTCTCATCTGAACCTAACCCTTATATCACACTCTATTCTCACCTGTCGCCCCCGTCTGCCGTGAGAAGCTGAATGTTGCAGTGTATACCTATTGTCTAAATCTGAACTTTCATTAAACAGGAATCGTCATCCTCATTGGCTGTCTGTTCATTGTCGGAGTCCCGAAGTTTGTTATAGGTATGTCACATATTGTAGTTATGTAAATGTATGTTTAACTTAATCATTCACTATTCATAACTAGGGCTGCGCAATATAACCGGTTTACCGGTATTTACCGGTTCAGACATGAAATCGATACGTATTGCGATACCCGGATCGAAAACCGGTTTTTCGACATGCATTCGGAAAACTTCGTAACTCTCGGAAATCTTCGGATATTTCCGTTTTTCGCACCGGAAATCAAGTTAAGTTCGTTTTGAAGTTGTGTTCTTAATTTTAGTTCAAGTGTTTCGCAATGTTTTGGATCTGAATGTTATATATATATATTTACTCATTATTGACCAGTGATCCCTGATATGAGCTGACCAGGTCAAGTTGCTGTCTAAAATCTCAGGGCTTTTTCGAGAGTGGAGAAACTAGTTCAAACTAGTAACCACTGTGTTGATGTTAAATTGTTCTTTTCCTTGTTTCCTTCATTTTAACATGATTAATAGTTTTTATTAAAGCTTAATCAAGCATAGTGCTTTTGTTGTGTTTTTGCTTTATAAATCAAGCATTAACTCGATTATAAGTAATTTTTTATGAAACAAATATTCTTGCAATATATTGCAATACGTATCGCAATATATGCTTTCGAATCGCAATATATCGCAATATGAAAATTCTCTGCAATACCCACCCCTATTCATAACATTATCTGTTCTAATATAATTATTTATTTTTTTTATATTTTCTGACTTAACAATACTGTTTGGTGGACCACTTCAGATATCGTTGTGTTTTCTATAGTTTCGAAAACTATCCATAAACATTCAAATAATTAGATAGGTCTAACAGGTAATCAGTAGGTCGGACCGTTCGATCTTCCTCGTCGTTTCTTACCAAAGTATGGAACTACCACGAATCCAGAATTCCCGATGAAAGACGTGTGGGTGTGATTGGAGGTCATTGAAAGGTTATCGTATCTTCTACAGTGTTTGTTTTCCAAATGGGATGTGTCTCCACTTTCCTTCGTCGATGTAAGATGTTGTACATGGTAACATGTTAAGTGAAAGTGATAGGGCTGTAACGATGCATCGATTTATCGATATAAAATTACTTCGTGTAAAGAAAAGTACTCCTCATTATAGGTTGTATGCTGAGACTGGAAGGAAACCAATTTCTATTGATACTCACACAAAAATGGTATGCTTTTGGACCAAATTGACTTCAGGCAAATCCTCAAAGTTATCTAATATATTGTATCATATCCTAGTTAATGCCTCTTATAGATCACCAGATAATAAGTGGATCTCATGCATACATGATATCCTAGTTCAAACTGGAAATAATGACATTTGGATTCAACAGTTTTGTGATAGTGTAGAATGGATAAAGCATAAGGTACAGAATAGTGTCATTGATTTGTTTATACAGAAGTGGCACTCCGATTTAGAAGTATCATCTAAGGGTAGATTCTATAAATCTTTTAAACTTAATACTGATATTGAATTCTATCTACAACATTTACCTGATAAACATAAAATTGCTAGATTATCATATCATCGATTACCGATTGAGACTGGTAGATGGTACAAAATTGATATTTTTATAGGAAATGTGCCCTATGTGTTTCAAATGATATTGGAGATGAATACCACTACTTGTTTAATTGTAATTATTTCAACGATCTGAGAAAGAAACTACTTCCAACACTGTACATCAAGAGACCATCTGTATTTAAAATGATAAGTTTATTTCAATGTAAATATGTCTCGGATTTGATTAAACTGTCAACTTTTTGTCGCTCTATATTATGCTATTTTAATAAGCTTTATGTCGCGAATACTTACTTTGCATGACCTCTGTAAACCCTCATAGTGCTATGTATGTAGCCTTGAGAGAAATAAGGTTCAGTTCAGTTCAGATGGATTGCAATTGTTGTGTCTCCGATAGCAAATAATCGATGGTCGAAACGAAAAACTATCGTTGTATCGATAGCATGTAGGACTATCGATAGTTTAGTAATTGACTTCCGTTGATAAATGCGCAGCGCAAAATATAGGAATTACCAAGGTCCCATTTCACAAAGCTCTCGTAGCGTTACGACTATCGTAAGTCAATGTTACAGTATAGGAGGTACGAATGCTACGAGGAAAGTTACGAGATCTCAGGTTTACGATAGGTTTGAGAAACAAGGCACAGATTCGTTCACTTTGTTTTAAAGTTTTCCGACCCTGTTACCTGTTAACTGTTTACTTGATGTGGTTTCAAACTTCTTGTCAGATATTGAAAGAGACTGAAACTACTTTAACTTGTTTGTATTTCATATAAACTATACATTCATTTGGGAAATGACTTCAAATGAGACAATTCAAGGAGCGCAAAACTATTACGATAGTGTTGCAATAGTATGTCGCAATAGACTATCCCTGTCGCAATAGTATGTCGCAATAGACTATCCCTGTCGCAATAGTATGTCGCAATAGACTATCCCTGTCGCAATAGTATGTCGCAATAGACTATCCCTGTCGCAATAGTATGTCGCAATCGACTATCCCTGTCGCAATAGTATGTCGCAATCGACTATCCCTGTTGCAATAGTATGTCGCAATAACCTATCCCTGTCGCAATAGACTATCCCTGTCGCAATAGTATGTCGCAATAGACTATCCCTGTCGCAATAGTATGTCACAATGGACTATACCTGTCGCAATAGTATGTCGCAATAGACTATCCCTGTCGCAATAGTATGTCGCAATCGACTATCCCTGTTGCAATAGTATGTCGCAATAACCTATCCCTGTCGCAATAGACTATCCCTGTCGCAATAGTATGTCGCAATAGACTATCCCTGTCGCAGTAGTATGTCGCAATAGACTATTCCTGTCGCAATAGACTATCCCTGTCGCAATAGTATGTCGCAATAGACTATCCCTTTTGCAATAGTATGTCGCAATAGACTATCCCTGTCGCAATAGTATGTCGCAATAGACTATACCTGTCGCAATAGTATGTCACAATGGACTATCCCTGTCGCAATAGTATGTCGCAATAGACTATCCCTGTCGCAATAGTATGTCGCAATAGACTATCCCTGTCGCAATAGTATGTCGCAATAGACTATCCCTGTCGCAATAGTATGTCGCAATAGACTATCCCTGTCGCAATAGTATGTCGCAATCGACTATCCCTGTCGCAATAGTATGTCTAATCCACTTATATCCCTGTTGCAATAGTATGTCGCAATAACCTATCCCTGTCGCAATAGACTATCCCTGTCGCAATAGACTATCCCTGTCGCAATAGTATGTCACAATAGACTATCCCTGTTGCAATAGTATGTCGCAATAGACTATCCCTGTCGCAATAGTATGTCGCAATAGACTATCCCTGTCGCAATAGTATGTCGCAATAGACTATCCCTGTTGCAATAGTATGTCGTAATAGACTATCCCTGTCGCAATAGACTATCCCTGTCGCAATAGTATGTTGCAATAGACTATCCCTGTCGCAATAGTATGTCGCAATAGACTATTCCTGTCGCAATAGTATGTCGCAATAGACTATCCCTGTCGCAATAGTATGTCGCAATAGACTATCCCTGTTGCAATAGTATGTCGCAATAGACTATCCCTGTTGCAATAGTATGTCGCAATAGACTATCCCTGTTGCAATAGTATGTCGCAATAGACTATCCCTGTCGCAATAGTATGTCGCTATAGACTATCCCTGTCGCAATAGTATGTCGCAATAGACTATCCCTGTCGCAATAGTATGTCGCAATCGACTATCCCTGTTGCAATAGTATGTCGCAATAACCTATCCCTGTCGCAATAGACTATCCCTGTCGCAATAGTATGTCGCAATGGACTATCCCTGTCGCAATAGTATGTCTAATAGACTATCCCTGTCTAATAATAGTATGTCGCAATCGACTATCCCTGTCGCAATAGTATGTCGCAATCGACTATCCCTGTTGCAATAGTATGTCGCAATAACCTATCCCTGTCGCAATAGACTATCCCTGTCGCAATAGACTATCCCTGTCGCAATAGTATGTCACAATAGACTATCCCTGGTCCAATAGTATGTCGCAATAGACTATCCCTGTCGCAATAGTATGTCGCAATCGACTATCCCTGTTGCAATAGTATGTCGCAATAACCTATCCCTGTCGCAATAGACTATCCCTGTCGCAATAGTATGTCGCAATAGACTATCCCTGTCGCAGTAGTATGTCGCAATAGACTATTCCTGTCGCAATAGTATGTCGCAATAGACTATCCCTGTCGCAATAGTATGTCGCAATAGACTATCCCTGTTGCAATAGTATGTCGCAATAGACTATCCCTGTCGCAATAGTATGTCGCAATAGACTATACCTGTCGCAATAGTATGTCACAATGGACTATCCCTGTCGCAATAGTATGTCGCAATAGACTATACCTGTCGCAATAGTATGTCACAATGGACTATCCCTGTCGCAATAGTATGTCGCAATAGACTATCCCTGTCGCAATAGTATGTCGCAATCGACTATCCCTGTCGCAATAGTATGTCGCAATAGACTATCCCTGTCGCAATAGTATGTCACAATAGACTATCCCTGTCGCAATAGTATGTCGCAATAGACTATCCCTGTCGCAATAGTATGTCACAATGGACTATACCTGTCGCAATAGTATGTCGCAATAGACTATCCCTGTCGCAATAGTATGTCGCAATCGACTATCCCTGTTGCAATAGTATGTCGCAATAACCTATCCCTGTCGCAATAGACTATCCCTGTCGCAATAGTATGTCGTAATAGACTATCCCTGTCGCAGTAGTATGTCGCAATAGACTATTCCTGTCGCAATAGACTATCCCTGTCGCAATAGACTATCCCTGTCGCAATAGTTGTTTCCCCCTCATTAGTCACCCATAGAAAGCGACTACATAACAGTAATCTGAAACTGTAACAATGTTTATACAATATGCTGCTGGTGACCTTTATAAATCTGACTGCTATTTGTTTATTCTGTGGTCTCAGACCAGCCCGTGGTGTTGGAGCCACTCTGTGGAGGACGTGTGACTGGATGGTCAAGTTCGCTAACGGTTCGTGCATGGCACCATATCCACGTGAAGCTGTATCGACGCTCATGATGGCTTTGGAGTCATTGCACGATTATTTACAGACCTCCAACATACATACATACTGAATATTGCTTTGTGGCCGAGATGCATTTATAGCTGAATATTGCTGATTGGGCCGACATACAAGTATAGTGGAATATTGCTGATTGGGCCGACATACAAGTATAGTGGAATATTGCTGATTGGGCCGACATACATGTTTAGTGGAATATTGCAAATTGGGCCGACATACAAGTATAGTTGAATACTGCTTGTTGGGTCGATGTATAGCTGAATATTGCTGATTGGGCCGACATACATGTTTAGTGGAATATTGCAAATTGGGCCGACATACAAGTATAGTTGAATACTGCTTGTTGGGTCGATGTATAGCTGAATATTGCTGATTGAGCCGACATACATGTATAGCTGAATATTGCTGATTGTTCTGACATACATGTATAGTGGAATACTGCTTGTTGGGTCGATGTATAGCTGAATATTGCTGATTGGGCCGACATACATGTATAGCTGAATATTGCTGATTGTTCTGACATACATGTATAGTGGAATATTGCTGATTGGGTCGATGTATAGCTGAATATTGCGGATTGTTCTTACATACATGTATAGTGGAATATTGCTGATTGGGTCGACATTCATGTATAGCTGAATATTGCTGATTGTTCTGATATACATGTATAGCTAATTATTGCTGATTGGGCCGACATACATGTATAGTGGAATATTGCTGATTGTTCTGACATACATGTATAGTGGAATACTGCTTGTTGGGTCGATGTATAGCTGAATATTGCTGATTGGGCCGACATACATGTATAGTGGAATACTGTTTGTTGGGCCGAGATACATGGCCGAGTATAGCTTGTTGGGCCGAGATACATGGCCGAGTATAGCTTGTTGAGCCGAGATACATGGCCGAGTATAGCTTGTTGGGCCGAGATACATGGCCGAGTATAGCTTGTTGGGCCGAGATACATGGCCGAGTATAGCTTGTTGGGCCGAGATACATGGCCGAGTATAGCTTGTTGGGCCGAGATACATGGCCGAGTATAGCTTGTTGGGCCGTGATACATGGCCGAGTATAGCTTGTTGAGCCGAGATACATGGCCGAGTATAGCTTGTTGGCCGAGATACATGGCCGAGTATAGCTTGTTGAGCCGAGATACATGGCCGAGTATAGCTTGTTGGGCCGAGATACATGGCCGAGTATAGCTTGTTGGGCCGAGATACATGGCCGAGTATAGCTTGTTGGGCCGAGATACATGGCCGAGTATAGCTTGTTGGGCCGAGATACATGGCCGAGTATAGCTGACTTGGGCGTTAAACAACATTTGCTCACTCTCCTTTGTTTCCATTTTTTATTATATTCAAAATAATACATATTCCCCTATTATACTTCCCATCAAAAGTGGGGCGGTGGGTTTAGCCTAGTGGTTAAAAGGTTGGCTCGTCACGCCGAAGACCTGGGTTCGAATCCCCACATGGGTACAATATGTGAAGCCCATTTCTGGTGTCCCCCGCCGTGATGTTGCTGGAATATTGCTAAAAGCGGCGTAAAGCCAAACTCAGTCCCATCAAAAGTTTAGACTCGCTAGTGTAAATGTAGCCACTTACTACAGTCAACTGTTCTAAACTAAATTTTGCAAAATATTCCATACTGTTTAAAGATACTGTTTACACATGAACTGATGTATTGTAAAACAAATTCGTAACGTTGAAAAGAGTATTGTCATGAGTTCAATAAATGATAAAAATCAGTGAAAATTGGCGAATTCTTAACAATACTTACACCAAAACGCAGCTGTTCACATGCACGATATTTGCACATGCTATTCAGCAATTTGATGCATGATCCTCGTGCAGTTCATCTGCATAAAGTTTGCAGTTGGTCCCCCCAAGTTAGTGGAGAAATCAATCTTTGATGTAACCACATATAGATCCATAACATATAGTGAGTGTTTTAAGTGAATCCAAACTTTTGAAATGAAGTATATATTCTTGCGTAATCCACGTTTATACATATTCAATTGATGATTTAATTCACGTAATGCTATTAACCTTTCTCCACTCCAGGGATGGAGTATTTGCACCAATGTCCCGCGGCACCCCTCATCCCCGTGTATCTGTGTGTCTCGGGGCTACTGGGCGTGGCCGGGGTGGGACACAGCGTCTTCCTGTGGACATGTTTGTTTCGCAAGCACATGAAAGGGAATAAAACAACACACAACGTCTGCCTGTTGCTGTGGGTGTTCGTGATGTTCACCATCCCCGTTGTCCAGCTTGTGGGTAAGTATATGTGCAGGGTCAAGGTCACTGAGATTAACGCCAATAGGTCAGTTATGTGATGGGGTAACGCATTAAGGCAGGGCGGGCCCACAATGGAGGGCTGCTCCAACTAGACCAGCAGAAGGGATCGAAAACAAGAATATACTTGTTATTTTGGGAAAACACTTGATGAGATGACTAGATCTTACTAATGCGTTCTTGCAATATGCGTTCGCAACCACTTGTCCTCCATTCGTGTCAGAAAACATATGATTATTCCTATTTGAAACATTGGTATAACACGCAGAGTTTGGTTCCAGCTTGAAACATTGGTATAACACGGAGAGTTTGGTAGCATACAGGTAGCATGTCCACAGTAACCGAACAGGCAGATCTACCACAGGTCTGAATATTCCAGTGTCCTCTGACGACTGAACGTACCACTTGAAATGCCTCATCGAAGAGTGACTATATATCAAATTTCATCCTTAATATTGACATGCACCAAGTTTACCTGCACTTGAGGCTTCTTCCAGACTATGACTTACAGGTGACCTAGAGAATACCTTAATCCTAGACTTGACTCATTGTCTCACCAAGACAACCCTCTCCTTTCATCATCAGGTAGACATGGCAATAAAGAGCGAAAACTTGAAGCCAGTTTGTGTATTAAATAAAACGCTTCATTCTCCATTGGTCGAATCTGTCTTCTTATTACTCACGCCATCTCTCATTCACACACAATATGTTCCCTGATTATAATGAAATGGCTTTGATCTTAATTACCTTGACCGCGGTGATGGAGCAACACAAGTAATTGTATTTATATTTTCAGGTGGGCCATACATCATTTATACCTACCGTACAGGCACATTTCGTCAAGGAAGATGTGACGTCATTGCAACTATGACGTCATCTCCTTTATTATCCGGCCAATCGTCGACATCCGAAACTTTGGGCATTGCCGTTACCCAGCCACTGACAAACGAAACTGGTTTTTCATATACATCGATCACGGATGAAAAAAGAATACACTCGCAAAATGAGAAAAACACTTCGTGTGTATCTTGTGATGACGTAATCATTTTGTGTGCCTATGGCACATCAATATTTGAGTTGGTATTTATGACGGTGCCACTGTTGTGTTTTGTAATAGCCGCAATAATATTTCGACTTCGCCAAAAAGATAACCTCTCGAAACAAAAAGCTACAATTGTTTGACCTTGAACATTTATATGTGTTATATTTATGCCATGACATATTATATTTATTGACCTCATGTAGATAGTACACTGGCCTTCGGGGCATACATCGGAAGTGTCGGCAGAGTTGTCTCTCTTGCACGCATCAGGATCCCTGAGCACAACGTTTCATAAAAGTATTAACGCAACATTTTAGTTCATTTTAGATTGGTACGATTACATAGTTTGTACCGCCTTTTTAACGCCATTAGACATATTCTGTATTTATCCTTTTTTAAAAAAAACGTTTATAAATAATAAACGATTCTATACGAAGTTAGTTGAGTTGAAAATAGTACTTTCTTCAGAAGTTCCCTCCTTGCACACAGACTGCATCTGGACCAGAATCGTATACTTGCAGGCATCAGTATGGCGAGGTATTCTCATTTATCGTCTCCTCAGACAAATAACACAGATTCTGATTCATTAATTGGCAAGGTGATGCCTTTGGTTTCCTGAAATTCAAAAAACAATTCTGATGGAGAAGTTCTTCCCCAGAAAGTCATTAATATCAAAGACGATGCAGTACTGCTATAGTAATTCCTGTAGAATATATATATGGCTTGGCATGGCGGTAAATCCGCTCAAGGCGTGTTGTTCCACCAATGCTGCAGGTGTCTCTACTGTCGCCATGGCTACAATGCATGAAGAAATGCCTCTCAAATAAGTCATGACTGGGACTTTGATTTCAATAATCCTCTCTATTAACAAGGATGATACGTTTTAGATTTCCACCTCTTCAAAAGCTAGAAGAAAGCAATGTCTGGCAAGTATTGTGCAATTGATGACGTCATGTCTGCCATGAATTATCTTACTCATTCCAAAAATTCAGACCTCAACTTTTGGCAAGAGAACATTCAAATATGCATCTGCAGGAAAATGGAACTGTCTATCCGAAAACCTTAAATCTGCCTCTTCACTTGAATCCTTCAAGTCACAATTAAAGATGTTCTCTCCTCCCGGGCTTTCCCTTGCTAAGCGCACAGAGCATAGGACTGTGAATGATGCGCTGTAGAAATTCATGAATTATTATTACCACGAGGAATCCTTCTACACAGTGAGATCCTGATCACACGGCATGGATTACGGCAGTGCGTGGACACCGGGAGACCAGCTCGACTAACACAGTCCATCTCATTTGTATAAGGCTTGTAGGTTCGAATCCAATAATCCTCGACTTTCACCATCAGTAACTATGGTCATTTGCATCATGGTATTCAACGTGTAGGGCCTACCTGGAGTTGGGCGCGGTGATGTACACTAGAAAACTAAAGCTGTGTAGGGCCTACCTGGAGTTGGGCGCGGTGATGTACACTAGGAAACTAAAGCTGTGTTAAACCACATGCAGATGATGCCTGAAATACTTGGTGTAATGGATGGATGGACAAGGGTGTTAGAAGAGTTGATCCTGATGTACCCTTTCCCAGACCTGAACTACGCGTGTTGGTCTTTCAGATGTCCTCCTGTGCCCCGATCTACCTGTGTGTGATGGACTTACAGGTGTTCCCTCGTGTCCCGATCTACCTGTGTGGTGGTCTTACAAGTGTTCCCTCGTGTCCCGATCTACCTGTGTGGTGGTGTTACAGGTGTTCCCTCGTGTCCCGATCTACCTGTGTGTTGGTCTTACAGGTGTTCCCTCTTGTCCCGATCTACCTGTGTGATGGTCTTAGAGATGTCCCCTCGTGTCCAGATCTACCTGTGTGATGGTCTTACAGGTGTTCCCTTGTGTCCCGATCTACCTGTGTGATGGTCTTACAGGTGTTCCCTCGTGTCCCGATCTACCTGTGTGTAGGTCTTACAGGTGTTCCCTCGTGTCCAGATCTACCTGAGTGTGATGGTCTTACAGATGTCCCCTTGTGCCCCGATCTACCTGTGTGATGGTCTTACAGGAGTCCCCTTGTGCCCCGATCTACCTGTGTGATGGTCTTACAGATGTCCCGTTGTGCCCCGATCTACCTGTGTGTTGGTCTTAAAGGTGTTCCCTTGTGTCCCGATCTACCTGTGTGATGGTCTTACAGGTGTTCCCTCGTGTCCCGATCTACCTGTGTGTGATGGTCATACAGATGTCCCCTCGTGTCCCGATCTACCTGTGTGGTGGTCTTACAGATGTTCCCTCGTGTCCTGTTCTACCTGTGTGTAGGCCTTACAGGTGTTCCCTCGTGTCCCGATCTACCTGTGTGTGATGGTCTTACAGGTGTCCCCTCGTGTCCCGATCTACCTGTGTGTTGGTCTTACAGGTGTTCCCTCGTGTCCCGATCTACCTGTGTGGTGGTCTTACAGATGTTCCCTCGTGTCCCGTTCTACCTGTGTGTAGGCCTTACAGGTGTTCCTTCGTGTCCAGATCTACCTGTGTGTGATGGTCTTACAGATGTTCCCTCGTGTCCAGTTCTACCTGTGTGTAGGCCTTACAGGTGTTCCCTCGTGTCCAGATCTACCTGTGTGTGATGGTCTTACAGGTGTTCCCTCGTGTCCCGATCTACCTATGTGTGATGGTCTTACAGGTGTTCCCTCGTGGTGTCCCGATCTACCTGTGTGTAGGTCTTACAGGTGTTCCCTCGTGTCCAGATCTACCTGTGTGTGATGGTCTTACAGATGTCCCCTTGTGCCCCGATCTACCTGAGTGATGGTTTTACAGGTGTCCCCTTGTGCCCCGATCTACCTGTGTGATGGTCTTACAGATGTCCCGTTGTGCCCCGATCTACCTGTGTGTTGGTCGTACAGGTGTCCCCTTGTGTCCCGATCTACCTGTGTGATGGTCTTACAGGTGTTCCTTCGTGTCCCGATCTACCTGTGTGATGGTCTTACAGGTGTTCCCTCGTGTCCTGTTCTACCTGTGTGTAGGCCTTACAGGTGCTCCCTTGTGCCCCGATCTACCTGTGTGATGGTCTTACAGATGTCCCGTTGTGCCCCGATCTACCTGTGTGTTGGTCGTACAGGTGTCCCCTTGTGTCCCGATCTACCTGTGTGGTGGTCTTACAGGTGTTCCCTCGTGTCCTGTTCTACCTGTGTGTAGGCCTTACAGGTGTTCCCTCGTGTCCAGATCTACCTGTGTGTGATGGTCTTACAGGTGCTCCCTCGTGTCCCGATCTACCTGTGTGTTGGTCTTACAGGTGTTCCCTCGTGTCCCGATCTACCTGTGTGATGGTCTTACAGATGTCCCCTCGTGTCCCGATCTACCTGTGTGTTGGTCTTACAGGTGTCCCCTCGTGTCCAGATCTACCTGTGTGATGGTCTTACAGGTGTTCGCTTGTGTCCCGATCTACCTGTGTGTGATGGTCTTACAGGTGTTCCCTCGTGTCCCGATCTACCTGTGTGTAGGTCTTACAGGTGTTCCCTCGTGTCCAGATCTACCTGTGTGTAATGGTCTTACAGATGTCCCCTTGTGCCCCGATCTACCTGTGTGATGGTCTTACAGGTGTTCCCTTTTGTCCCGATCTACCTGTGTGTTGGTCTTACAGATGTCCCCATGTGTCCCGATCTACCTGTGTGTTGGTCTTACAGGTGTTCCCTCGTGTCCAGATCTACCTGTGCGTAGGTGTTACAGGTGTCCCCTCGTGTCCCGATCTACCTGTGCGTAGGTCTGACAGGTGTTCTCTCGTGTCCAGATCTACCTGTGTGTTGGTCTTACAGGTGTTCTCTCGTGTCCCGATCTACCTGTGTGTTGGTCTTACAGGTGTTCCCTCGTGTCCCTATCTACCTGTGTGTTGGTCTTACAGGTGTCCCCTCGTGTCCCGACCTCGTGTCCTGAATTCTGTGTTCCGTGTGTATGCTTCTCTGTGGCTTGCAGGTAGCATACCTGACTTTTGAGGTCTATACGGTACACAGGTACTCGTGAAACTTGAGCCCATTGAACGATACCGTATCAACAACATATCAAGCAACAACAACAACAACAACAACAACGCTTTGAAACGGAGAACCATTTAATGCGCGGTACAGTCAACATTTGTCGCAGTGAAGGTCCGCTGTCTGGCCCGGGGGTAATCTGACAGAGGAAATCACATCATGTTTAAGTCTCAAAGTGAGTTAAAAGATACACATGGAAAAATGTGTCGCAACATTTATAATTTGTAACCCCAATTAAGTAGATATCAAGCTATTGGAATGCGGAATGCCTACATGCTACTGAGGGCTTTTACAAGGGAAGTTGATTGACACCCATCGACTATCAGCAAACTAGTGGCGTTCAGGTGACCAAGTGACTACGAGTGACAAGGGGAGGATACAGCCCATCTCAGAATCATCAGACTTCATCTATTCATATCAGTCAGTGGGTGGTATACTATAAGTCACGTGGCAGTATTTCGGCCATTGTGACCATTCCTATCGAGAGGCGTGTTAAAACAGAGTGGCTTGTACATCTTTGTTTGTCCAACAGAATGGTCTGAAATCGCTTAAAGTCGGCCGGGAATCGAACCAGAGGACCTGGCAGACATCCATTGGTATCTCCAGAGCACAAACCACAAAACACAGGAAACACTGCGTATACACAACCGAATAAGGACGGTGGGGTAGCCTAGTGGTTAAAGCGTTCGCTCGTCAAGCCGAAAACCTGGGTTAGACTCCCCACATGGGTACAATGTGTGAAGCCCATTTCTGGTGTCCCCCGCAGTGATATTGCTGAAATATTGCTAAAAGCGGCGTAAAACCAAACTCACTCACTCACTCACAACCGACTATCGTGGATCAGGTACCGTGGTTTATTGGCCAGATCAGAACGGACAACGGTAGATCTCTGAGATTCTATCCTCGATTAACCCTATATAGCCTCAGCACCACCTTAACGCACAGTGACAATTTTACAATATATGTTAAACTTTTTAAGAATCTGAAATGCCGTATGGGACAAGGAAAGCACTTTTGACGTATACATTGCATTCATCCATGGACACATACACACAACACAGCCGGTAAAAACCGGTATTGTACATTGGACTCTGCTTTTAGCAGAGATGCTTTTCACCATAATGGAAATCGAAAACCCTAATCCTAAACCTGTTCTGGTTTGAACACACAAGATGGTTACCTCTGGGAACCGCTACCGGTGACAAATCTACAAACATAATCAGAATGAACCTTGGATTCGAACCCGCGATCATGAGACCTGACCCGCCCAAGGGACGCAACTCAGCACCGCAAATCCCGAACCCCAAACGAGTGGTCACATTTGCCCAATTCCATTTGAAATCTGTGTTCAAAGCACAATAACCAGAGTCCAATCACTGTCCCATGTCACCAGTTCCTGGACCTTCCGTTCCGCCCGATACTGGCTAGCTATTCTCGAAACGTCCGTAGCCCTACGAGCTTCTTAAACCCATTCTTAACACATTGGCTACGATCAAAGTTAAGAATACTTAGAGCTTAGGGCTAGAATAAGGGCCCCGATACTCATATGTAGTGTATCCTTGGGCAATAGATTTGTACAATATGCCTCTTTAGACCACGCTGTTGGGTGCGAGGTGCCAGGAGGCTGGTTTTCTGTCTGTGCTCTTTAGACGCCGCCATCCTGTGCATGCTCTCCTTCAGTCTGAGAATGAACTTTGAGTAACCACTGCACCAAAGACCGGGTAATAATATGATAGCACCATGAAGACCCTTCGTGAATTTCATCATAACCGGATGTACATAATGATCATAAAGTTTTTATGATCAACAACAAATAAGGAACAGCCACATATACCCCTCGCTCTCCAGTCTGGCTAAGGCAAAATGGAATCACTCACCCATTACATGATCTCATTCTGCACGATCTGGATGACTTGTTGGATTTCGGCCACAGTTTCGGCAGCAGCATTCTGGGCCTCCACAGCCTCGTTCTCGATACCGTTGGCGTAGTTGCGTATCAAAACCTTCTCGTCAGCTAGAAGTATAGTGGTGTTGGAGCAAGTACGGGTTGTTTGTGCATCGCAGAGATTTACAGGTTGTCACGCATACCACATCGTGTCAATGTTAGGACGAGGAAGATTTAAAGGTATACACATCTCGGACGCCCGCCGTATCTCAGGGCTCAGGCGTACATCGAGCACGGGGATGGTGCTGACAAACCTAATCGTGGCGGACCGGGATTCGAACTCCCAATCAAAGGTTTCTGTCGAGCACAGGACACGACTTTGCACAGAGACGCTTACAGTGAGTGAGTGAGTGAGTTTAGTTTTACGCCGCAATATTCCAGCTATATGGCGGCGGTCGGTAAATAATCGAGTCTGGAACATACAATCCAGTGATCAACAGCATGAGCTTCGGTCTGCGCAATTGGAAACCTGATCCCCCGATCCCGTTAGTCGCCCCTTATGACAAGCATGGCATGCTGAAGGCATCCCGGATCTTCACGGGTTCAGTCCTAAATAGTAACAGTTACAAACATGACACTGTCGTCAAGATACATACCAGAGAGAGTTTTCCCAGGGTTGTAGTAACTAGACGATGGTGAGTAGTAGTAGCTTGAGTAACCATAGTAACTAGACGATGGTGAGTAGTAGTAGCTTGAGTAACCATAGTAGCTGGACGAGGGTGGGTAGTAGTAGCTTGAGTAACCATAGTAACTAGACGATGGTGAGTAGTAGTAGCTTGAGTAGCCATAGTAACTGGACGATGGGGAATAGTAGTAGCTTGAGTAACCATAGTAGCTTGACGAGGGGGAGTAGTAGTAGCTTGAGTAACCATAGTAGCTAGAAGATGGGGAATAGTAGTAGCTTGAGTAACCATAGTAACTAGACGATGGTGAGTAGTAGTAGCTTGAGTAGCCATAGTAACTGGACGATGGGGAATAGTAGTAGCTTGAGTAACCATAGTAGCTTGACGAGGGGGAGTAGTAGTAGCTTGAGTAACCATAGTAGCTAGAAGATGGGGAATAGTAGTAGCTTGAGTAACCATAGTAGCTGGGCGATGGTGAGGAGTAGTAGCTTGAGTAACCATAGTAACTAGACGAGGGGGAGTAGTAGTAGCTTGAGTAACCATAGTAGCTTGACGAGGGGGAGTAGTAGTAGCTTGAGTAACCATAGTAGCTAGAAGATGGGAATAGTAGTAGCTTGAGTAACCATAGTAGCTGGGCGATGGTGAGGAGTAGTAGCTTGAGTAACCATAGTAACTAGACGAGGGGGAGTAGTAGTAGCTTGAGTAACCATAGTAGCTAGACAATGGTGAGTAGTAGTAGCTTGAGTAACCATAGTAGCTAGAAGATGGGGAATAGTAGTAGCTTGAGTAACCATAGTAGCTGGACGATGGTGAGTAGTAGTAGCTTGAGTAACCATAGTAACTAGACGATGGGGAGGAGTAGTAGCTTGAGTAACCATAGTAACTGGAAGATGGGGAATAGTAGTAGCTTGAGTAACCATAGTAGCTGGGCGATGGTGAGGAGTAGTAGCTTGAGTAACCATAGTAACTGGAAGATGGGGAATAGTAGTAGCTTGAGTAACCATAGTAGCTGGGCGATGGTGAGGAGTAGTAGCTTGAGTAACCATAGTAACTGGAAGATGGGGAATAGTAGTAGCTTGAGTAACCATAGTAGCTGGACGATGGTGAGGAGTAGTAGCTTGAGTAACCATAGTAACTAGACGAGGGGGAGTAGTAGTAGCTTGAGTAACCATAGTAGCTAGACGAGGGGGAGTAGTAGTAGCTTGATCCGTAATCTGAAAAAACACACAGATAAGGAAAGGGTAATTATGAACTCAAGTTAAACAGTGGAAGAGAGAGACGGGTGGTCTGTGTTGTAATGAAGCAAGTGGGTAAGTTATGACTGCATACTGTTCATCAGTTCTGTATTTGGTATATGGCCAGTAGGCCCCGACAGACCGCTGGTTGATAGTATGAGCACAATGACAAACAAGCAGTGACGTCATCAACACCTATTGAGAAGGAGGCCGGTGGAGTTGAAGCAAAGTGACATTGACAGCTTGAAACAACGTTCACCGTATGATGATGCGTTGTCATAACACCCGGTAACGGTCATCGTAGGATGCTACGCTGTCATAACACCCGGTAACGTTCACCGTAGGATGCTACGCTGTCACAGCACCCGGTAACGGTCATCGTAGGATGCTACTCTGTCATAACACCCGGTAACGGTCATCGTAGGATGCTACGCTGTCACAGCACCCGGTAACGGTCATCGTAGGATGCTACGCTGTCATAACACCCGGTAACGGTCATCGTAGGATGCTACTCTGTCATAACAGCCGGTAACGGTCATCGTAGGATGCTACTCTGTCACAGCACCCGGTAACGGTCATCGTAGGATGCTACGCTGTCACAGCACCCGGTAACGGTCATCGTAGGATGCTACGCTGTCATAACACCCGGTAACGGTCACCGTAGGATGCTACGCTGTCATAACACCCGGTAACGGTCATCGTAGGATGCTACGCTGTCATAACACCCGGTAACGGTCACCGTAGGATGCTACGCTGTCACAGCACACCCGGTAACGGTCACCGTAGGATGCTACGCTGTCATAACACCCGGTAACGGTCACCGTAGGATGCTACGCTGTCATAACACCCGGTAACGGTCACCGTAGGATGCTACGCTGTCATAACACCCGGTAACGGTCACCGTAGGATGCTACGCTGTCATAACACCCGATAACGGTCACCGTAGGATGCTACGCTGTCATAACACCCGGTAACGGTCACCGTAGGATGCTACGCTGTCATAACACCCGATAACGGTCACCGTAGGATGCTACGCTGTCATAACACCCGGTAACGGTCACCGTAGGATGCTACGCTGTCACAGCACCCGGTAACGGTCACCGTAGGATGCTACGCTGTCATAACACCCGGTAACGGTCACCGTAGGATGCTACGCTGTCATAACACCCGGTAACGGTCACCGTAGGATGCTACTCTGTCATAACACCCGGTAACGGTCACCGTAGGATGCTACTCTGTCACAGCACCCGGTAACGTTCGCCGTAGGATGCTACGCTGTCTTAGCACATGGCGGATCTTCCCGGGGCCCCAAGGGATCATAACCGTGTCTATGAGGAAGGGAATCATTCTCCGACGTTTTCAGAAAGAAGCCAGCATTTAGTCAGAACGTCCCCTGCAGCCCTGACGTGTTAAGACAATGATGACTGGAACCACGCACACACCCACGAAGGGATTCGAACCCAGGTCTCCGAGTGACGAGCGAACCCTTCAACATCCACGCTGAGCCTCAAGACGTCACCTCAAGTATATTTGTTTGAGACATTGTTACACACAGGAATCCACGAAAATGAAACGAAATACAGCCATAGTGTGCCTTATCAACACCTTATACCTAGGAACCTTCCAGCTCATCCCGGTATCAATGACACCTCGTGCATAGGTCAACATCCTTCACAGATAGTTTGACGTTCTGCCTGAGTCAGGTCTGGGAATTACAAACGACTTTTATTCCTCTACACTATGAGATCATTGAGTGCAATGGTGGGATGTGGCGGCTAGTTAAACTGACTGACTGACTGAGTTTGGTTTTACGCCGCTTTTAGCAATATTCCAGCAACATCACGGCGGGGGACACCAGAAATGGGCTTCACACATTGTACCCATGTGGGGATTCGAACCCGGGTCTTCGGCGTGACGGGCCAACGCTTTAACCACTAGGCTACCCCACCGCCCCCGGCTAGTTAAAGTTTACAGGAATATCCCCGAACCTTGACGCTGTAACCATAGGGACCAAAATTACCAACAGCAAACTGCGCTGGAATAGGTTCAGTGAGATCCAACCATTGCTGATCTTTGTGTGCAACTCACATGCTCTGTGCTACTCACATGCTCTGTGCTACTCACATGCACTGTGCACTATGGGGATCATTTGACAGATCACCAATTCAATGTTAAAAATATTGTCAACGAAACTGCCTGCACCTTCAATCCCAATAATCAGGATTTTGTCACATCGGGCATAGACGTCACTCCGATGACCACTTGAAGTTTTATTACTATTATTATAATCTACAAGTTCGGCCAAAGTCATATTTCTCGGCGAGCTGCTTCTGGGTAAGTCGAGACGGGCTTTAGAATCTTCAATGAGTAATGGTAATTGATCTCAGCAAATTAATTGATCCGTTTTCTCTGCCCATTCATCCAATGCTTGACAAAACATACCTAGGTCCTCTCATTAGCCACTCAGCTTGTAAAGGCGTTCTCAGGTACAGGCGTTCTCACACTGCTAATTACCTCCCAATTATTAAGTACTGGGACCAAAGAGATTACCCGTAACAGGATGTTAGTTGTCAACTGGCCTTTGACAGGTTGATTGACTATTTTAGTCCAATATGGGAAGAGGATGTCGGATTGTACAGATTAATAGTGTCATTGGGACCAGAAAATGGTGTCGGAATTCGAAATGTACAGATGTCGGATAATTCAATGCTTAAATGATGATAATATAGAGGAACGCTGCCGGGACCCCAAAAATATGTCGGAATTCACAGATTGTCGGATAATTCAGATGTCGGATTATACAGAGTCCACTCTATTTATATAGCGCCGAGTTCCAGGCTGCTCACAGGCACTTTGTTTTTCCTTCAATCATAGGGTGTCAGCCTCAACGGCACTTCGTATAATCAATCTCAACTCCCTGGGGCGCATACAACTCTTGCAGCCACCAGGCGCACAAAGGTAATGTGGTTTTCCCATCCTTACGAGGTACCCATTCACAGCTGGGTGGACTGGGATACATAGTCACAGTACTTTGTCCAAGTTTACTGCACGTTGCTGTACCCGCAACCAGATGTTTGCACGTATCCACCATCTGGTCATATACCAACGGATTCGTGGGTTCTTTTAAGTGTACAGGGTTGTGTACTGTACACAAGGGGTTCTGAGAACACTGAAAGAGTCTGCACACAAAGTTTGATCGTAATGTCAGACGTAAGCTGTGTAGATAGAGAGTAAGAACCAGGATGGTGCGTCACATAGAGAGGTCACATAGAGAGGAGGCCAAGAGATCTGATAGCAGTCCAAGTGTGATTGGTAGACAAGCGATCCCAAGCACCCAATACATTCAGGATCGTCTTAGTTCTTGTAAGCCAAGATCAACGTCAGAAACACTGGTACATAGTCATTATTTACCGGGACGGCATTCAACCACCTCCTCTACAACGTCGTCAGTAGGTGCGGCACTACATCAATCAAGGGTTTTGCAGCTCAACGTCTACCGACGGCACCGTCTGCGGTTTTCTTACGTCAACGTCAGACATCGTCATCGTTTTGGCGGTGGTACGATGAAGGTGTGGGGTGGAATTCGTGGGCCCAAGAGAACGTCTCTTTACGTCGTCAAAGATTTGTCTGGTGTCTATGATACAGAAACAGTCTGACAGTCTTCAGGGCTATACCAAATTCCTTTAGACAGGACCGCCTCCGTGATGTAGTGGTTAGAGCGTCCGTCCGGAGATCGGAGGGTTGCGGTTCGATCCCCGGCCGCGTCAAACAAAAAGACGTTAAAATATGGTACTTGTTGGTCCCTGCCTGGCGCTCGGCATTAATGGGTACAACAAGGACTGGTCTGCTCGGAGTCAGTATAATGTGTCTGAGTGGGGTATTCATGCTTCACTGCCGCATGGTATCTCAGTGGGCTAGCACTATAAAACCAGCTTAAGTCCGGGCTAGTACAAGCAGCCACACATATACACGCATGCACGTCGTCATATAAGCGATGCATTCTCAAGTACGATGTTAAACCCAATTTCACCTCACCTCACCTTCAGGCAGAGTGGCAGGCTGTTCCACAGATGTTCTGTTCAACAGCATGCCCAAAGGGTGTGTCGACGGACACGAGGTGGTTGCACTCCGTATTGGTGGTTGCACTCCGTACTGACGTAGAGACCGTGTGCAGTTTGTCTGACGTCTGACGTTATGTGTGAGACTTTGTGTCTCCTGCATTGCTTTGTACTTCCGGTACTCACAACTGACCAAACAATATTCCTAAGTATTATAACGAAATACTATAACTACATTCGTCTATTCCTAACTTTGTTTAGATTACATACCTTGCTTATGTCACCATTAAATTGTTTTGAGTAGTATATACGTCAGAGAAATAAATTTCGTGCACCAATGTCACATATACATCGGCTCTACACATTGCGTTAACAATAGTACCGTTGTATTGAGTACATGCGACGCAAGATGACATGTTCACAAAAGTATATGCAGCTTTTCCTTTCTGTCGAGCTGTCTTCCAGCAGATCCAAACACTATATTTCCCACATTTATAGGCACAACCGTGCATGCCCTTTTTGCTAAGATTGCAAAGAGCGTCACATTGTTCTGAAATATGGTAAGGCTTACAAAATATTGTATGATAGACATATGGCCAAGACAAATCATATTTAATGTTCCTTATAACCAAGGCTTCCGCTTCCGTTCAGGTGAACAAATACCTTGCCTTTGCGTGTGTCTGTGACGCGTGTCACGTGCTGGACTCTCCCTTTTCATAAATATTTTGTATCATTCCTATCTGAATCGTACATTGGAGAGGTTTTGATTTGCTCATTTTATTTATATAAAATGCCTACGTCCTAATTTCTATGGCCGACTTATAGCATATGTATTCAAGGCTCAACCACTGTTTGGACCAAGCAAATAAGTGACAATTCATTCATGATAATCGATCAACGTAATTGAGATTCGCCTCTTACGATAACATTTCTAACCAAATCACCACAGCCTACAAGCATGGATTGCTCAAAGTCAATCTTACCTAAATATCCATAGCCTACAAGCAGGCTCCACAGCCTATAACCACGGATTGCTCAAAGCCAAATCTAACGAGATCTCCACAGCCTACAAGCATGGATTGCTCGAAACTAATTCTAACACGGATTTCGAAACTAATTGCTAACCTAGATCTTCTTCTGGGGGAATACAAGTATGGGTTGCTCAGTCTAAGCTATTCGAAACAGGGATTGTTACTTCTTCACAGCCTACAAGCAGGGATTGCTCAAAGCCAAGTCTAAGCTACATCTTCACAGCCTACAAGCAGTGATTGCTCAAAGCCAGGTCTAACCTAGATATCCATAGCCTACAAGCAGGGATTGCTCAAAGCCAAGTCTAACCTAGATCCTCACGGGGTACAAGAATGGACTGCTTTAACCAATTGTGATGGTATGATAAAGCCTCACGTACATGCTTGTCTCTTCAGCCGAGAGTTCTCCTTGAGGAATGGGGAGTTGAGGAACTTACTGTCCTGTAAAAGAGAGGCATCAAACGTCATTTATTCAACACGTGTTTGAGGAATGCCTATTGGTGAGTAAGGACGATACTCTCATGTTAGCAGCTTTGCTCATTATACCTAGGCAATGTCCAGACCTCACTCATTAACGGGATTGGTTATCAAAATGCGCGCCATGAGGTCAGGTACCTAAACTCATTCATTATACATAGGGACACCGGCTCAATCATTGTACCCGTTATTGACACCCGCTCATTCATTATAGGGACGCCCGCCTATTGACACCCGCTCATTCATTATACCTAGGAACACCCACCTAGGACATTCTTCATTCATTATACCTATGTAAGCTGAAACTCACCTGAACACCCGCTCACTATTATACATACCTAGGGACATTATACCTAGGCCGCTCATTCATTATACCTAGGGACACCCGCTCACTCATTATACCTAGGCACGCCCACTCACTCACACCCCGCTCACTCATTATACCTAGGAACACGCCCGCTCACTCATTATCCTAGGGACACCCGCTCACTCATTATACCTAGGGACACCTACCCGCTCACTCATTATACCTAGGGACACCCGCTCACTCTCATTATACCTAGGGACACCCTGCTCACTCATTATACCTACGGACACCCGCTCACTCATTATACCTAGGGGACACCTAGGAACGCCTGATCACTCATTATACCTAGGGACACCGCTCTACTCATTATTACTAGGACTCAGCTGGACACTCACCTGAACTTCACCCGCTGCAAGGGTGACGAGCAACGCGACAATCAAACCGTGAGTGATCATGGTTGTTGATTTACCCAAGGACAGAGATCCGATTGCACTCATTTTACCTAGGGACAATCAAATATCTACACAGGATATGTTTATATAGTAAATATAGACGATCAATGACATGGTTGTTGTACAGCGATTGTAATACTGCAATGAAATATACACTTTATATAGCAAATATAGACGATCAATGACATTGTACAGCTACTGCCACCTACTAGTTGTGACAATGTTTTCCAGCGTGTAGCAATATGACCAAACATCAATGGCAGCTGGGGGAGCAGAGTGGAATCTGGTCCAACAAGGTGCGTGTTATTTGTCACTTTGCAGTAGGTTTCAGTACCCGCTGTCTGGACATAGCTCCATAACGTCACGTATGTGGACGTAGGCAATGCCGCGTGTTCCCAGGTCAACACAAATCACCTGGCAGAACATGCACTATTTCAATAATAATTCATCTGCTGTATTTACACAATTATTAGACAGAAACAGGTGCTTTAAGTGGTTAAGTCTATGATAACGATCAGCAAATCCATTTTTAGGCACCTAATCCTTCCATCGGTTTTGTCATAATTGAACTTTCAATGGCAATACTAAACCCTATATGGAGAGTCTCCACTGAGTGTGTCTTAAACAAAAGGTACATAATTAGGCTGGCCTATTGTCTGGAAGTGATGATATATCTTATCTAAAAAGTAACTAGGGAGAGGTCACCTTGCCTTGTCCTCGGCAATCATGGCATAACGTCAGGACTGGGCAACTCAAAGTCAGCATAATGTGTCTGAGTGAAGGATAACAGCTAAAATAAACACACAACAATAAAACCCATTTCAGCTCGCCTCATCATTCTCCCAACATATGTTAACAGTTGTGTAGTAAGTAGTGTCGTGGATGTAATACGTTGTGTAATACGTCATCTCTGGTGACAGAGCGGTTGTGATCTGATGGTGACAATGGCTAAGGTCTATAAAGCATTGTAAAGCCTTGCAGCTTGATGCGATATGGGTTTTAGTTTCAGATAATAGATGAATAATATGAGTATTATGTATAAATTAGGAATTTAAAAATGTTTCTATTTACTTATTTTTGAGAATACGTCCCTGCTGATGTGAAGGTCTTGTACAATGTAGTCACACGTCTTCATAGAGACTACAGGGCAAAACGTCATCTGTTCTTCTATGTCAAGCGGATAATGGAAGATCAACCCACATCCAAGTTATTACCGGTTATCTCACAGAACTCTCGACAATGGTCGTCCCCCGGACATGTCCCCAGTCAATGTGTGCTGTGTGTTCTGACACATTGAGCACCGTGGCCCAACTAGGGGTAGCTCTTCAGGAAGACAATACCAACATCAACCACTTCCAGGTTAATCAACAGCTTGGTGTAGCTCTTCAGGCAGAACGTTGGACAATACCAACATCAACCACTTCCAGGTTAATCAACAGCTTGGTGTAGCTCTTCTGGCAGAACGTTTGCCAATGCCAACATCAACCACTTCCAGGTTAATCAACAGCTTGGTGTAGTTCTTCTGGCAGAACGTTGGACAATACCAACATCAACCACTTCCAGGTTAATCAACAGCTTCTGGCAGAACGTTGGTTCCAGGTTAATAGCTCTTCTGGCAGAACGTTGGACAATACCAACATCAACCACTTCCAGGTTAATCAACAGCTTGGTGTAGCTCTTCTGGCAGAACGTTGGACAATACCAACGGACAATACCATCAACAAACTCCAGGTTAATCAACAGCTTGGTGTAGCTCTTCTGGCAGAAACCATTTCCAGGTTAATCAACAGCTTGGTGTAGCTCTTCTGGCAGAACGTTGGACAATACCAACGGTAACCATTTCCAGGTTAATCAACAGCTTGGTGTAGCTCTTCAGGTAGAATGTTGGACAATACCAACATCAACAAACTCCAGGTTAATCAACAGCTTGGTGTAGCTCTTCTGGCAGAACGTTGGACAATACCAACATCAACCACTTCCAGGTTAATCAACAGCTTGGTGTAGCTCGTTGGACAATACCACACATCAACCACTTCCAGGTTAATCAACAGCTTGGTGTAGCTCTTCTGGCAGAATGTTGGACAATACCAACATCAACCAACTCCAGGTTAATCAACAGGTGTAGCTCTTCAGGCAGAGACGTTGGACAATACCAGCATCAACCATCTCAAGGCAGCTAGGTGTAGCTCTTCAGGCACAATGGACCACATGAATCACCTCCAGGTTAATCAACAGCGTTGGTGTAGCTCTTCTGGCAGAACGTTGGACAATACCAACATCAACCACCTCCAGGTTAATCAACAGCTTAGTGTAGCTCTTCAGGTAGCTCAATACCAGGCAGAACGTTTGCCAATACCAACGGCAACTATCTTCAAGTTAATCAACAATAAGCCATCAAGATACACACCAGATATTGATCTACAAGTATTTAGCAGACAGTTATCGTCATTACAGCTTCAAGTTTACCTTACGTGTCTTGATAGTAGAACATACATACACGCAGTATGCCCCACACTAAATACCTTCACCCTGGCAGGGTACTGAAACTTAATGTTTTTGAAAATTTAGAATATACGGATTGCAAAAACCGCACCCACTTTCCCGGTCAGCTGGACTGACTACTGCCAGCTGGTGTTCTACGTCACAGACGGGGCGGGCAGGTTATATAAGACCATGCACCTCCTTCTAAGGCTTCAAGCGAAACTCCATGATGAGGTACTTTCTGGTGCTGGTGGCGTGTCTGCTTGCTTGGAGCCTTGTGAGAGCTGACGATGAAAGATCTGAGGTAAGACTTTTGGAGATGAGAGAGTGAGTGAGTGAGTGAGTGAGTGAGTGAGTGAGTGAGAGTGAGTGAGTGAGTGAGTGAGTGAGTGAGTGAGTGAGTGAGTGAGTGAGTGAGTGAGTGAGTGAGTGAGTGAGTGAGTGAGTGAGTGAGTGAGTGAGTGAGTGAGTGAGTGAGTGAGTGAGTGAGTGAGTGAGTGAGTGAGCGAGTGAGCGAGTGAGTGAGTCAGTGGAAGAGGTGAGTGAGTGAGTGAGTTACCAAATTTCTAACGGGGATTCGGCCAACAGAAATGACTCGGAAAGCGAGTTCCTCACAAAACTGTTTTTTCTCGTGGCGCAGATTGCAGAGAAGGCCGGCAATCGTCTGAAGCGCGGGGCAGGTACGTTGTCAAGTTGTATATTCATAGAATATTTTACAAAAGAAACACATTTCTCTATTATTAATGCGTCGTAGTGTTGTACATGATCATCACGTGTGTTCGAGTACCTTCAGGCCACAGGAATATAAATGACTTAGTGCAGCAAATTCCAAAACCGATAAACAACGTAGATTACAAAATAGAGTCGGGTGTGATGAACAGTTTTTGGGTGTGGTGAACAGTCGGGGGTGGTAAACGACCTGGTATGGTGAACAGTTGGGTGTGGTGAACAGTGGGGTGTGGTAAACTATCTTGTATGGTGAACAGTTGGGTGTGGTGAACAGTCGGGTGTGGTAAACGATCTTGTATGGCGAACAGTCGGGTGAGGTAAACGATCTTGTATGGGGAACAGTCGGGTGTGGTAAACTATCTTGTATGGCGAACAGTCTATTACCTTAACCTTTAAGTGTATTACATGTATTTACCACACTGTCAATGTAGGTGGTCTAATACTTTCAAGTAAGCTAACGACAGTCGCAAGATGCTTTGTGGACGGAAGCACTGTACCTACAAGCTAACTGTCATTTCAGGGTATACAACAGCGGCCTACTCTACAACTCCCTACCCCTACAAGCCATCTGCAACCGGTAAGACATGAGACAGTACGACACTTTTACAATTCCGACCAGTTGATGAAGTATACGGAGATGTACAAACAGAGATATCCAGTAGAAAATATATAGAGGATGATACATCGCTGGAGGTGGACATTCTTGTTCCACTTCCTCCGTCCCCTCTCGTATCTGTTTTAATATCTGTAATGTACAAGTTATGCGTTTTCTCAATACCTTGTGAAATCTTTCAGAATGGTAGAAGTTGGTTAACTTCGAGAAGCGGTTACGTCAGTATCTGAGGGTGTAAATCAACCCCACCCATATAGTTCAGGATCTGTACATTCCACGAAATCTGGGGCGGTGGGGTAGCCTAATGGTTAAAGCGTTGGCTCGTCACGCCGAAGACCCGGGTTCGAATCCCCACATGGGCACAATGTGTGAAGACCATTTCTGGTGTCCCCCGCCGTGATGTTGCTGGAATATTGCTAAAAGCGGCGTAAAACCAAACTCAGTCATTCAGTCCACGAAATCTATAACATATAGGAGACCATGAGACTGAAGAATTTAGGTAATAAGCCTCACCACACACGACCCCCTCACATTCTTCTGACTGTCACTATGCTAAGTTTCATTCGTGTTTCGGTCTAATTATTGACATATGCATTAGAGCTTTCAAAGTCAGCCTATGCTAGTTTCTTTTCTTTTAGGGTGTATATCATACCTACCTACCCTCGTCCTTTTCCGACAGTTCTATCACTGATTGTATTTCAAGCCGACATTTCAATGTCTGTTTGTTGGACATGATATATTTTCGTAAGAGACATGTATTGGTAAGTAAATCACGAACTGTGACTTTGCCAAACTGATGTTCCAGACACACTTTGCTTTTACATCCGGAGCTGCCGTCAACTATATGTGTATCATTCCAGGGTACACTAAAGTGGCCTACTCTACAACTCCCTACCCCCAAAAGTCATCAACAACCAAAAAGAAGTCTAGGTTTCCCTGGAACCGTGGCAAGCGTCAAGCATGTAAGATCTCTTATTGACCACTGTACTGGATCTCTGAGCTCTTCCCACAGGTTCACTTGCCAGACTTCCCTGAAAGCTGACAGGGGAGATTCCTGTTGTCACCAACTGCTCGTCTTCGTTATGACCTCACTTCCACATTTAAATATAACACTAACGGTTTAACAATGTTGCCCCTTTGTCCTCCGCAACGTAACGAGGATTGTCAATGACAAGATAACGTTCTCCTATCAAGACCGTTGGCTACATCATGAAGTCGGGTATGGTAGACAACCGGGTATGGTGAACAATTGGGTGCGGAGAGCGATTGGGTATGGTGAACAATCGGGTATGGTGAACAATGGTGTATAGTGAAAAATTGAACAATTGGGTATGGTGAACAATTGGGTGCGGAGATCGATTGGGTATGGTGAACAATGGTGTATAGTGAACAATCGGGCATGGGAACAATCAGGCATGGTGAACAGTGGAGTATGGTGAACAATCGGGTATGGTGAACAATGGAGTATGGTGAACAATCGGGTATGATGAACAATGGGGTACGGAGAACAATCAGATATGGTGAACAATGGTGTATAGTGAGCAATCGGGTGTGGTGAACAATCAGGCATGGTGAACAATCAGGTATGGTGAACAATTGCACATGGCGAACAATGGAGTATGGTGAACAATGGGGTATGGTGAACAATCGGGTATGGTGAACAATCGGGTATGGTGAACAATGGTGTATAGTGAACAATCGGGCATGGTGAACAATCAGGTATGGTGAACAATGGTGTATAGTGAACAATCGGGCATGGTGAACAATCAGGTATGGTGAACAATTGGGTATGGTGAACAATCGATCATGGTGAACAATGAGGTATGGTTAACAATGGTGTATAGTGAACAATCGGGCATGGTGAACAATAAGGTATGGTGAACAATTGGGTATGGTGAACAATCGGGCATGGTGAACAATGGGATACAGGGGACAGTCTAGTGTGGTGAACAGTTGTGTGTCGTGAACAGTCGGGTTTGGTGAACAGTTACTTGTGGTGAACAGTCAGTTGTTGATTGTTGTGCTCGAGCATCTTCAGGCCACGGGAATATAACTGACTTATTGCATTAACTTCTAAACCCGATAAGCAACGCAGATTACGAGTGAGTGAGTTTAGTTTTACACCGCACTCAGCAATATTCCAGATATATGGCGGCGGTCTGTAAATAATCGAGTCTGGACCAGACAATCCAGTGATCAACGGCATGAGCATCGATCTGCACAACTGGCAACCGATGACATGTGCCAACCAAGCCAGCGAGCCTGACCACCCGATCCCGTTAGTCGCCTCTTACGACAAGTATGGGTTACTGAAGGGGCATTCTAACTCGGACCTTCACGGGTGCAGATTACGACATAGAGACAAGACTTCTAAGACTTCAGAACTCAAAATATAATATGTATGTACCACACACTGTCAGTGTGGGCGGTTCCTCATACGTCTCATATTTTCAAGTAAGCTAACGACAGTCGCAAGATGCTTTGTGGACGGAAGCACTATACCTACAAGCTAACTGTCATTTCAGGGTATACAACAGCGGCCTACTCTACAACTCCCTACCCCTACAAGCCATCTGCAACCGGTAAGACATGAGACAGTACGACACTTTTACAATTCCGACCAGTTGATGAAGTAAACGGAGATGTACAAATAGAGATACCCAGTAGAAGATATATAGAGGATGATATATCGCTGGAGGTGGACATTCTTGTTCCACTTCCTCCGTCCCCTCTCGTATCTGTTTTAATATCTGTAATGTACAAGTTATGCGTTTTCTCAATACCTTGTGAAATCTTTCAGAATGGTAGAAGTTGGTTAACTCCGAGAAGTGGTTACGTCAGTATCTGAGGGTGTAAAACAACCCCACCCATATAGTTCAGGATCTGTACATTCCACGAAATCTGGGGCGGTGTACTGCCTAATGGTTAAAGCGTTGGCTCGTCACGCCGAAGACCCCGGTTCGAATCCCCACATGGGCACAATGTGTGAAGACCACTTCTGGTGTCCCCCGCCGTGATGTTGCTGGAATATTGCTAAAAGCGGCGTAAAACCAAACTCAGTCAGTCAGTCCACGAAATCTATAACATATGGGAGACCATGAGACTGAAGAATTTAGGTAATAAGCCTCACCACACACACGACCCCCTCACATTCTTCTGACTGTCACTAGGCTAAGTTTCATTCGTGTTTCGATCTAATTATTGACATATGCATTAGAGCTTTCAAAGTCAGCCTATGCTAGTTTCTTTTCGTTTAGGGTGTATATCATACCTACCTACCCTCGTCCTTTTCCGACAGTTCCATCGGTGATTGTATTTCAAGCCGACATTTCAATGTCTGTTTGTTGGACATGATTTATTTTCGTAAGAGACATGTATTGGTAAGTAAACCACGAACTGTGACTTTGCCAAACTGATGTTCCAGACACACTTTGCTTTTTACATCCGGAGCTGCCGTCAACTATATGTGTATCATTCCAGGGTACACTAAAGTGGCCTACTCTACAACTCCCTACCCCCAAAAGTCATCAACAAACAAAAAGAAGTCTTGGTTTGCCTTGGGACGTGGCAAGCGTCAAGCATGTAAGATCTCTTATTGACCACTGTACTGGATCTCTGAGCTCTTCCCACAGGTTCACTTGCCAGACTTCCCTGAAAGCTGACAGGGGAGATTCCTGTTGTCACCAACTGCTCGTCTTCGTTATGACCTCACTTCCACATTTAAATATAACGCTAACGGTTTAACAATGTTGCCCCTTTGTCCTCCGCAACGTAACGAGGATTGTCAATGACAAGATAACGTTCTCCTATCAAGACCGTTGGCTACATCATGAAGTCGGGTATGGTAGACAACCGGGTATGGTGAACAATTGGGTGCGGAGAGCGATTGGGTATGGTGAACAATCGGGTATGGTGAACAATGGTGTATAGTGAAAAATTGGACATAGCGAACAATGGGGTATGGCGAACAATGGGATGTGGTGAACAATCGGGTGTGGTGAACAATAGGGTACGGAGAACAATTGGGTATGGTGAACAATTGGGTGCGGAGATCGATTGGGTATGGTGAACAATGGTGTATAGTGAACAATCGGGCATGGGAACAATCAGGCATGGTGAACAGTGGAGTATGGTGAACAATCGGGTATGGTGAACAATGGAGTATGGTGAACAATCGGGTATGATGAACAATGGGGTACGGAGAACAATCAGATGTGGTGAACAATGGTGTATAGTGAACAATCGGGTGTGGTGAACAATCAGGCATGGTGAACAATCAGGCATGGTGAACAATCAGGTATGGTGAACAATTGCACATGGCGAACAATGGAGTATGGTGAACAATCGGGTATGGTGAACAATCGGGTATGGTGAACAATCAGAGAACAATCAGGTATGGTGAACAATGGTGTATAGTGAACAATCGGGCATGGTGAACAATCAGGTATGGCGAACAATGGTGTATAGTGAACAATCGGGCATGGTGAACAATCAGGTATGGTGAACAATTGGGTATGGTGAACAATCGATCATGGTGAACAAGGTATGGTGAACAATGGATGGTGTATAGTGAACAATCGGGCATGGTGAACAATCGGGCATGGTGAACAATTGGGTATCGTGAACAATTGGGTATGGTGGTGAACAATGGGATACAGGGACAGTCTAGTGTGGTGAACAGTTGTGTGTCGTGAACAGATGGGTTTGGTGAACAGTTACTTGTGGTGAACAGTCAGTTGTTGATTGTTTGTGCTCGAGCATCTTCAGGCCACGGGAATATAATTGACTTATTGCATTAACTTCTAAACCCGATAAGCAGCGCAGATTACGAGTGAGCGAGTTTAGTTTTACGCCGCACTCAGCAATATTCCAGCTATACGGCGGTGGTCTGTAAATAATCGAGTCTGGACCAGACAATCCAGTGATCAACAGCATGAGCATCGATCTGCGCAATTGGGAACCGATGTGCCAACCAAGCCAGCGAGCCTGACCACCCGATCCCGTTAGTCGCCTCTTACGACAAGCATGGGTTACTGAAGGTGCATTCTAACTCGGACCTTCACGGGTGCAGATTACGACATAGAGACAAGACTTCTAAGACTTCAGAACTCAAAATATAATATGTATGTACCACACACTGTCAGTGTGGGCGGTTCCTCATACGTCTCATATTTTCAAGTAAGCTAACGACAGTCGCAAGATGCTTTGTGGACGGAAGCACTATACCTACAAGCTAACTGTCATTTCAGGGTATACAACAGCGGCCTACTCTACAACTCCCTACCCCTACAAGCCATCTGCAACCGGTAAGACATGAGACAGTACGACACTTTTACAATTCCGACCAGTTGATGAAGTAAACGGAGATGTACAAATAGAGATACCCAGTAGAAGATATATAGAGGATGATATATCGCTGGAGGTGGACATTCTTGTTCCACTTCCTCCGTCCCTCTCGTATCTGTTTTAATATCTGTAATGTACAAGTTATGCGTTTTCTCAATACCTTGTGAAATCTTTCAGAATGGTAGAAGTTGGTTAACTCCGAGAAGTGGTTACGTCAGTATCTGAGGGTGTAAAACAACCCCACCCATATAGTTCAGGATCTGTACATTCCACGAAATCTGGGGCGGTGTACTGCCTAATGGTTAAAGCGTTGGCTCGTCACGCCGAAGACCCGGGTTCGAATCCCCACATGGGCACAATGTGTGAAGACCATTTCTGGTGTCCCCCGCCGTGATGTTGCTGGAATATTGCTAAAAGCGGCGTAAAACCAAACTCAGTCAGTCAGTCCACGAAATCTATAACATATAGGAGACCATGAGACTGATGAATTTAGGTAATAAGCCTCACCACACACGACCCCCTCACATTCTTCTGACTGTCACTAGGCTAAGTTTCATTCGTGTTTCGATCTAATTATTGACATATGCATTAGAGCTTTCAAAGTCAGCCTATGCTAGTTTCTTTTCTTTTAGGGTGTATATCATACCTACCTACCCTCGTCCTTTTCCGACAGTTCTATCACTGATTGTATTTCAAGCCGACATTTCAATGTCTGTTTGTTGGACATGATATATTTTCGTAAGAGACATGTATTGGTAAGTAAATCACGAACTGTGACTTTGCCAAACTGATGTTCCAGACACACTTTGCTTTTTACATCCGGAGCTGCCGTCAACTATATGTGTATCATTCCAGGGTACACTAAAGTGGCCTACTCTACAACTCCCTACCCCAAAAGTCATCAACAACCAAAAGAAGTCTAGGTTTCCTGGAACCGTGGCAAGCGTCAAGCATGTAAGATCTCTTATTGACCACTGTACTGGATCTCTGAGCTCTTCCCACAGGTTCACTTGCCAGACTTCCCTGAAAGCTGACAGGGGAGATTCCTGTTGTCACCAACTGCTCGTCTTCGTTATGACCTCACTTCCACATCTAAATATAACGCTGACGGTTTAACAATGTTGTCCCTTCGTCTTCCGCAACGTAACGAGGATTGTCAATGACAAGATAACGTTCTCCTATCAAGACCGTTGGCTACATCGTGAAGTCGGGTATGGTAGACAATCGGGTATGGTGAACAATTGGGTGCGGAGAACAATCAGGTATGGTGAACAATGGTGTATAGTGAACAATCGGGCATGGTGAACAATCAGGTATGGTGAACAATTGGGTATGGTGAACAATCAGGTATGGTGAACAATAAGGTATGGTGAACAATGAGATGTGGTGAACAATCGGGCATGGTGAACAATCAGGTATCGTGAACAATTGGGTATGGTGAACAATGGGATACAGGAGACAGTCTAGTGTGGTGAACAGTTGTGGGTCGTTAACAGATGGGTATGGTGAACAGTTACTTGTGGTGAACATTCGGTTGTTGATTGCTGTGCTCGAGCATCTTCAGGCCACGGGAATATAATTGACTTATTGCATTAACTTCTAAACCCGATAAGCAGCGCAGATTACGAGTGAGCGAGTTTAGTTTTACGCCGCACTCAGCAATATTCCAGCTATACGGCGGTGGTCTGTAAATAATCGAGTCTGGACCAGACAATCCAGTGATCAACAGCATGAGCATCGATCTGCGCAATTGGGAACCGATGTGCCAACCAAGCCAGCGAGCCTGACCACCCGATCCTGTTAGTCGCCTCTTACGACAAGCATGGGTTACTGAAGGTTCATTCTAACCCGCACCTTCAAGGATGAAGATTACGAAATGGAGACACGACTTCAAAAATTTCAGAACTCACAATATTACATGTATTACCACACTGTCAATGTGGGCGGTTCACCATACGTCTCTTATTTTCAAGTAAGCTAACGACAGTCGCAAGATGCTTTGTGGACGGAAGCACTGTACCTACAAGCTAACTGTCATTTCAGGGTATACAACAGCGGCCTACTCTACAACTCCATACCCCTACAAACCATCTGCAACCGGTAAGGCATGAGACAGCACGACACTTTTACAATTCCGACCAGTTGATGAAGTAAACGGAGATGTACAAACAGAGATATCCAGTAGAAGATATATAGAGGATGATACATCGCTGGAGGTGGACATTCTTGTTACGGGTCCTCCGTCCTCTCTCGTATCTGTTAAATATCTGTACTTTACAACTTATGCGTTTTCTCAATACCTTGTGAAATCTGTCAGAATGGCAGAAGTTGGTTAACTCCGAGAAGTGGTTACGTCAGTATCTGAGGGTATAAATCAATCCCACCCATATAGTACAATATCTGTACAATCCTCGAAATCTATGATATATAGGATATCATGAGACTGATGAATTTAGTTAATAAGTCTCACCACACACGACCCCCTCACATTCTTCTGACTGTCACTAGGCTAAGTTTCATTCGTGTTTCGATCTAATTATTGACATATGCATTAGAGCTTTCAAAGTCAGCCTATGCTAGTTTCTTTTCTTTTAGGGTGTATATCATACCTACCTACCCTCGTCCTTTTCCGACAGTTCTATCACTGATTGTATTTCAAGCCGACATTTCAATGTCTGTTTGTTGGACATGATATATTTTCGTAAGAGACATGTATTGGTAAGTAAATCACGAACTGTGACTTTGCCAAACTGATGTTCCAGACACACTTTGCTTTTTACATCCGGAGCTGCCGTCAACTATATGTGTATCATTCCAGGGTACACTAAAGTGGCCTACTCTACAACTCCCTACCCCCAAAAGTCATCAACAACCAAAAAGAAGTCTAGGTTTCCCTGGAACCGTGGCAAGCGTCAAGCATGTAAGATCTCTTATTGACCACTGTACTGGATCTCTGAGCTCTTCCCACAGGTTCACTTGCCAGACTTCCCTGAAAGCTGACAGGGGAGATTCCTGTTGTCACCAACTGCTCGTCTTCGTTATGACCTCACTTCCACATCTAAATATAACGCTGACGGTTTAACAATGTTGTCCCTTCGTCTTCCGCAACGTAACGAGGATTGTCAATGACAAGATAACGTTCTCCTATCAAGACCGTTGGCTACATCGTGAAGTCGGGTATGGTAGACAATCGGGTATGGTGAACAATTGGGTGCGGAGAACAATCAGGTATGGTGAACAATGGTGTATAGTGAACAATCGGGCATGGTGAACAATCAGGTATGGTGAACAATTGGGTATGGTGAACAATCAGGTATGGTGAACAATAAGGTATGGTGAACAATGAGATGTGGTGAACAATCGGGCATGGTGAACAATCAGGTATCGTGAACAATTGGGTATGGTGAACAATGGGATACAGGAGACAGTCTAGTGTGGTGGACAGTTGTGGGTCGTTAACAGATAGGTATGGTGAATAGTTACTTGTGGTGAACATTCGGTTGTTGATTGCTGTGCTCGAGCATCTTCAGGCCACGGGAATATAATTGACTTATTGCATTAACTTCTAAACCCGATAAGCAGCGCAGATTACGAGTGAGCGAGTTTAGTTTTACGCCGCACTCAGCAATATTCCAGCTATACGGCGGTGGTCTGTAAATAATCGAGTCTGGACCAGACAATCCAGTGATCAACAGCATGAGCATCGATCTGCGCAATTGGGAACCGATGTGCCAACCAAGCCAGCGAGTCTGACCACCCGATCCTGTTAGTCGCCTCTTACGACAAGCATGGGTTACTGAAGGTTCATTCTAACCCGCACCTTCAAGGATGAAGATTACGAAATGGAGACACGACTTCAAAAATTTCAGAACTCACAATATTACATGTATTACCACACTGTCAATGTGGGCGGTTCACCATACGTCTCTTATTTTCAAGTAAGCTAACGACAGTCGCAAGATGCTTTGTGGACGGAAGCACTGTACCTACAAGCTAACTGTCATTTCAGGGTATACAACAGCGGCCTACTCTACAACTCCATACCCCTACAAACCATCTGCAACCGGTAAGGCATGAGACAGCACGACACTTTTACAATTCCGACCAGTTGATGAAGTAAACGGAGATGTACAAACAGAGATATCCAGTAGAAGATATATAGAGGATGATACATCGCTGGAGGTGGACATTCTTGTTCCACTTCCTCTGTCCTCTCAGTACTTTACAAGTTATGCATTTTCTCAATACCTTGTGAAATCTGTCAGAATGGTAGAAGTTGGTTAACTCCGAGAAGTGGTTACGTCAGTATCTGAGGGTGTAAATCAATCCCACCCATACAGTACAGGATCTGTACAATCCTCGAATTATAAAAATCATATTATGCGATCTATGAAAAAGTACTAAAATTAAGTCATGTGGGTGTGGTTTATTTTCTTGTTATCTCGCCAATGCAACATAAATGGTTGTGCGAAGAAAGTCTATTCTTGATTGTGATTACTTGTTTATATATTTTGTCCCCCAAAATGCTTAAAAAGATCGTTTACTGGACGTAAGTGACATGTCGTCATATTTGAACATCCTCTCCCAACGCTCTTAAAAAGCACACCAGAAATTATTATCAGTAAATAAATTAAAAGAATAAAAAAAACGAGAAATATTATTCGCTTAAACTGTGAAACCTTTGCAGGTAGAAATAGAACCTGTTTTCGGCTCACCCTTACAGAGAAGAACAAGGTATTGAAAAATATTTCGGAGAAGTTTGATAAAATTTGATAATGATTTTCTGTACGATCCCTTCTCAACCGCACCCTCCCTTTCTCGCTGTCCTCGGAGAGTCCAATACATTAATACATTCCTATCCCGAGATGTACCATTCTTCCTGTAGTGTACTGTTTGTTGTACTCCAGCGACTACCTGCCCTGAAACATGTTCTTGGTATTGTGACAGATTACACAGCCTCCTACCAGTATATGACCACCAAATATCCGGACTACCAAACAGCTGGCTACAGTGGTTCCAGTGGTCAAGGTAACATTTCATTTCTGCAGACATTATCTCTTTGTGAAGCGAACACCATTCTCTCGATACCATATAGGATGGTGTAACATTCACAAGGGTTCTTACCGAGGTTTGTTTATATTTGTTGGCTCTGTTTGTCTGGAAGTCCAGGAACATCCGAGGTATCACTTATCCCAGTTTTCCCTGTGCATTGGGAACTTAGTGTTGTGTGTAAGCTCACTTCTCAAGCGGGAACAGTGTAATTGAACAAGGAATTGTAGAGGGGCCAACTATGGTTACAGCAGGAACAATGTAATTGAACAAGGTGTTGTAAAGGGGCCAACTATGGTTACAGCGGGGACAATGAACCAGCTGGTCAACCAGGGGCAGATACTGCTGCAGGAGGCCCAGGGCGCCTTGACTGATGCCCAAGCAGCAGCGGGCTATGTGAGGCAGCTGGAGGAAACCCTGCTTTGAAGACACAGGGCGACAGTGTACTCACAACACGAGGTAAGGAATACCCTCTTTATGATATGTAGGTCGATTGTGAATAAAGAAACATATTTCCAGAAAATTCTTTTTGACTAAGGTTTTGCTTAAATAACGTCAAATTCGAATCTCTGGATACTGTGGTCATAATCCTGGTGACGGCTGAATCTGAAACTTCTTAAGTGGGATGTTGGACCTTGCCTGTGAACTGATTATGTTTTGGTCTCTGGATCCATGAACTCGTGTCTCCTGACCTTCTAGCAGGTTTAGCAGGTAGTTTAGACACACACAGGTGCTATAGTCCGTTTGGGTTCAAATGAGAACGACAAATGATTAAATAACTCGAAATTGGGATAAGTCCACAAAACATAAATGAGACTCCTGGTCCTGAAACCTCGGTACCCAACAGGATCTGAAATCTGACGTTTTTTGATTGATCACGGAAAAAGGGGTTTAAGGAACTGTGTTCTGCTGCTGTTCCACCAGCCGTTTGTCACCCTTCGGTGTGAAGCGTGAAAATAGCACAATATTACATGATGTTTCTTAAACAACTTTTTCAGCCAAATGGACAAAATATGATTAGGTGCAAACAAACAATACTCTTTCTTTCTATCGTGAGGTGTTTAATAACTTCTCCCAATCCTTTAGGGACACAACCCTGCTTTCTATCGTGAGGTGTTTAATAACTTCTCCCAATCCTTTAAGGACACAACCCTGCTTTCTATCGTGAGGTGTTTAATAACTTCTCCCAATCCTTTAAGGACACAACCCTGCTTTCTATCGTGAGGTGTTTAATAACTTCTCCCAATCCTTTAAGGACACAACCCTGCTTTCTATCGTGAGGTGTTTAATAACTTCTCCCAATCCTTTAAGGACACAACCCTGCTTTCTATCGTGAGGTGTTTAATAACTTCTCCCAATCCTTTAAGGACACAACCCTGCTTTCTATCGTGAGGTGTTTAATAACTTCTCACAAACCTTTAAGGACACAACCCTGCTGTATATCTAGGTCAGTGTGTGACGTGCTGCAGCACACCTATCTATACCTTTGACAGAAACAACTGTCACCCCTGCAGCCATATTGCTTATGATGTCGGCGAAACATTTTGAACACCCAAAGTAAATCATATTCTTCTATTTGTTTCTTACAGAATTATGGACTGGGCGATCACATTCCTATTAGCAGATAATGTATTTGTTCTGTGTGACTGATAATAAAAAACGTTAACTGCAAAAAAGTATGTTTTGACAACCTTGGTTTTCTTTATAGCACTGTTCATATAGAACTGCTCATATACAATTGCTCACCAAAACGGACCAATGGTCGGACTGTGTGAAGGCACCATGGTATGGCTATGAGCGCACGTGAACTGTGAAGCTGTGACAGGTTGAGGACGGTGGAAAACGATCGATTTGTGTTTTAGTTAATCTGCTGTAGGCTTTAGAGGCTCGGAATTCAATTCAGATGTTTGATTTTTCATTCAACTTTCTTCATTTCTTTACACAGAAGGGAATCACGTTTAGTCTAGGCAAGAGATTCGTATAGTGATCTAGTTGATATTTACCAGTACGTTTAGATAAACAAATATCAACGGGGTAGTTCCACTGTCCAGTATTCCCTAGTATCATATCCACATCGACAGAGCTGAATGATCACACCTGTAGCAGTAGGCAGTATTTAGCATTTACTTAAAGCAACATAACACCCATGTGATGGCGGCCTGTACAGAATAGAGTCAGGATCAGTGGACGACGAAGAATCTACCATATATTGTGTTGACCTCATGACAAGCATTGGCGCGGTGGGGACTATTCTGAAGATGACAAACAGATACAGAGGCAGGAGGAGCAACTCTTCTAGGTTTGAATCGATTTGAACCTCTGGACATGGAGGTCAGTCCTCCACTCCCTGTTCATAGTAGGCCTCCCACACACTCACAACAACCAGCCGAACCACCATTAACGGTTATCACCATGGAATACAGTGGAATTGCAGAGGACTAGAAAAATATATATATTTGCAGTTATTGTCACAAGATTTGAAGCCATGGCCATTCTGGTTACAGGAAACGAACTTAAGAAATACAGATGGATACAACATGAGACAGAATGATTCCTATTTCTTTTAATGTTCAGCTGCATTAGTCCACAATGGCTAGCAGCTGAAGGGAGGGAGACAATCCAGCTAGGGTCAAGGGCTCGTGGTCTCAAGAATGGTGCTCTACCTTCAGTTGCAAGCAATGTTTTCATATTGTATTGTGCTGTATAGCGATATATGATTGAAACCAAGTCTTAAATGAAAAACAGTCACACTCTCGCTGTTTTACTGCCCACTGTTAACAGATTTTATAGACTGAATTGATGGCGGTGACACTTGGTCCTGTGCATAGAGCTCAGGTCACAAATCAGGTGAAATTAAGCAACCCTGGGTTCGGCGAGTTCTTGGATGGGTGACCGTGTTTGGCAGCTTGAGTCCTGAGAGTTCCTAAGACTTCAGTCCTGCCCCCACAACGAAGCATGATACACGTGGTCTCATCTTTGGCAAGTGAGTTTGTTCAAAATTGCCTCTGTCCACCCAGCAGAAATTGGGTACCCAATGGAATAAGTTATGTGACTATAACCCATAGCCCATAACAGAAAGCTTGGGTTATCCGGGTAATAATCATCAGATTGTTTGGCTGCCTCGAGCATGCATTGTGCATGGAGCAATGCGCATGATAAATGGACTACTATTATTATTATTTATCATACCGGTACCATATAAATTGTCCTGGTCACAATAAGGCTATCATATTGCTGATGCGACATTAAATTTCACCACACCCACCTTACTCAGCACATGGCTAGTCACAACTTAACACAGCAAACGAAGAATTATTTATTTATAATTTAATTACTGGAAAACAAAATACTATTGTAGAAAAAAATGACGATTAAATGCAACAAGGATAAATGTAGAGGGTTATCGCCTACCATGCCTTCTACACAACATGTGTTTCCAACACATAAATAATGAACATCATGACAGGAGAGAGTAGTATATATACATATTTGTTAGGAAAATGAGTCAACAATAAATCATTTTATAAGAAAGACAATTTAACATAACACTCTAATGTCATCAACATCAGTCACAAGACACAGTTATCATTGAACATACAAATACTACTGGTTCATCAGGTGTTCCTCAAGTACCTTCAAGAAATCAAACTGAAAACAAAACGTAGGTTTGGCAACCTATTTCATCAACTGTAAACATGTCTTATAATTTTTTTAGATTTAACTTATCCTATTGAGATTCCTGCAGGTCAAACTACAGAGCTGACCAAAACCCCAATCACAGGTTACGGAAAGGACCACTAGATCTTGAGATATAAAGTGTACAGCTATTGCACAACTATTCCCAATGTCGTACACATACAACACAAAACATACTTCAGCTCTCACAAGCTTAAACCTACTTTAACAGGCTCATGATCATCTTAAACTTAAAGTATGCAGGGAAGCTGGATAGAACTACAATCAACTAATCCTGACATGGTCCACTTGGTGATGAAAATTATCACTTATAGTGAGTGAGTGAGTTGGGTTTTACGCCGCTTTTAGCAATATTGCAGCTATGTCACGGCGGGTGTCACCAGAAATGGGCTTCACACATTGTACCCATGTGGGGAATCGAACCCAGGTCTTCTGCATGACGAGCAAACGCTTTAACCACTAGGCTTCCCCACTGCCCCACATCACTTATAATCAACGGGGTAATGATGACATGAATCAGTGAATCAGACTCTCTGATGTATCAAATCACTCTATTGACAAGGGAAGGTTGCACTTGAATACTACAATATGACCGTAGCAAACCAGTGGTTGATGTCATGACCACTCCCAGTGCTAATGTGGGGTGACCATCTATCAGCTACGTCACACGATGTACACTCCAGATCCAATTTTTTAACAGTATTTCTACTTGGGTCCATTCAGACTCCTTACAGAGAACAGCCAATCAACACAGCTAATTAGGCCCTATACAGGAACAGAGGCACATTATACCTTGCAACCCCCACATTCACAAAACAGTCATAAATCAAATCTCGCAAAAAATACACATACAAACAGATTTGATCAAAATGCCAAGCATCACCTTCTGGACGACAAGAGTGATTTCCAGTTATTTACAAAGGGTTTTAATAGTATAATCACATACAACATTAAAGTAGAAATGGATAAGACATTCTTGTTATTAATAAAATACACCATGCAAAATGTTATCCTTTAAAAAAGAATCTGTTGACCTTGTTAAAAATGACAACGTATCTGGTTACATGAGCTTCATGTCTAAATAGCTGACATGACGCTTGAGGAGAGAGTATTTACTGACATGCAAAGAGATTGTGTACGAGATATTATTCTGATAAAATTAAATCAGTCCATTTGTTTAAAGTTCGACTAGGCTCCACGACACATCTAGACATTGTAGCCGAAGAAACAAACTGCAACACGGTCTGTGTGTACACAAGCTAATCATTAACTGTTACAAATACATGATAAATTGCCTGACAATCAAAACATATTTTCAGTCAACATCGGCTTGTGGGTATTGTTTTTCCACCTTGTCCTACTTTAACAAGTCAGTAACCGTCTACACGGCCGACACGAGCAGCGAGTGAGCGTTTGTCTCACTGAGGTTCTCTATGCTTGGACCGGCATGAAGCTCACTCTGGGGTCCACATCGGATAGACAGGTCTGGGCCCTGGGCACCCTGGCTCCCGTGAACTCGACCCCGGTCAGGTCCACATCTGTATGCTGGGTTAGGGCCCTGAGCAGGGGGTGTATTCAGATCTGAGATGGAAAATAAACTGAATCAGTGACAGTTACCAAGGGTTATAAGACTCAAATGGAATTCTGTTTGAAGGTAGTGGACGTGTTGTGCATGTAACCTTCAAACTTGATGTAAGTGGGTTGTATGTAGCATGACTAATGTCTATTATAGCTAAAACACATGGCATTATCATGAAACGGCTCTCCTATTATCAGAAATTTGCGGGCTGCTGCAAATGATATTGGACTGCTCAACCTTAACGACGGGCCACTATCAGTTCTGTTGTCAAGTGACGTCATAGTGGGTGTGTCGGTTCATTCGACTTTGGCTTTGGACTGGCAGATATTCTGGGGCCAAAAAGTCAAAGCAATCCGGAATTCCCGCTTTAAATAGCGGTAATATTGGCTTTCTTGCTGGTGCTAACCTTAACAATTGCACTATTAACGTTGTTGTATGACCAAAACCGAACACTGAAAACTGACGTTGTATCTGACATAGTTTGACATGTTGCAGGCCATGGTCTTGTCAAAGGCCAAGGTCGAATCTCGTCACGTTCTGTTGTGACGTCACTTGAATTGTTCGATGACGTAATTGCATTCGGTCAGTCAACCCCCGTCAGAAGTTGGTTTTGAGTAAACTTACAGTCTAATTCCTTCATTGTTTCCTTTTTCTTATCAACACAAATTCCATGTATTTTAGCAATAATAACAGTAATGCTATTTTTGAGGGCATTATCATTTGCAGAAGCTCTCGGGCTTTTTCAACTGCCCTCCTTCGTCGGGCAGTTAATGGAAGACCTCAGGCTTCTGCAAATGATAATGTCTGGCCAAATGATTGATATTATGAGAAATGACCTTCACCCTTGAGATGACACTGCCACCCCCCCTGTTTCCCTAACATCTGGGGTAATGGTCCAGACATACATTCCACAAAATGACCTTTGCCCTTTGAATGTTGCCAGTTAATGGTCAAAGTATTGGGAAAAGGTCATCCTTATGCTATGACAGCATACAAGTCAATGGTCTGGAACCCTTCAAATCCATGGGCCCAACTTACAACAGCAGTGTCTTGTCTGGGCCGTTCCTCAGAGCTGGGTTTGGTCCATTGGCCACTGTTTTGTACACAGATTCATTCCTCCTGGGCTGGGATGTGACCACCCGTCTGGCGGGAGACTTCACGTGGGTCGCAGTGGGCCGAACACGATGCCTGCTGATGATCAACACAAGACAGTTTGTGGTTAATGCATATGGAAAGGTTATTACTGAGTTTAACAGCAGAAGGATCAAGGTGGAGCTAGGTACTTTGCATCTATACACAGGCGAACTGTCACAAATCGACAAGGATGGTAGAGATGTCAAATATCAGAGAATCATTTGAATTGTATTGAAAGTAAGTGGTCATTTTTACGTTTGACATGTATGAGGATATAGGGAACTACAGTAAATATGTCTAAACCAAGTTCATGGAATATCTAACTACCATAAAGCCCATGACACAAGACATCTGTAGGTCTGTTCATATTGACCTATATAAGTTGTAAAGGATGTTTTGGGAGGAGGTTTTTACTGAACATATTTCTAGTAATTGAGGGGCGGTTGGGTAGTCTAGTGGTTAAAGCGTTGACTCGTCACGCCGAAGACGCCAGTTTGAATCCCCACATGGGTACAATGTGTGAAGCCCATTTCTGGTGTCCCCCGCCGTGATGTTGCTGGAATATTGCTAAAAGCGGTGTAAAACCAAACTCAGTCAGTCAGTCTAGTAATTGACCATGAGCATATCCTAATGCTTTTGTAATGGGCATTTCAGCAACATACCACAACTTTGCCGAGCTCATCTGAACCTAATGTTATGAGTCATACAGTTCTCTGAGGTTTGTGTTGTCCATAAGCTCCAGGCAGTGAGTGTTATTTCATAGTATTTCAGTAATTATGGATTTCGCAGCAGGCATTGACCTTGACCTTGAAGCTAATATTCCACCCCCTGTCTGCAGTAAGAGTCAGTAAATATTCCCAAGCTGGAATCACAAATTTCCCAGTCAGTGTTTTCAATAAAAACTAATGTTATGGCTTTGCACAGGCAGTTTGTTTATCCCTGACTAATTTGTGCAAAATAACATCTTGTCCACAACTACATGGCCTGGGTGGTTTGTTGTGAATGAGGAGGACTACACCCCTGAACAGTGTGCAACACAACTGGGGCTTCAGGCTACACAGGGTTAGCAGACAGACAAGGGTGATGAGGAGGGCACACATCCTGGAGTGAGTGAGTGAGTGAGTTCAGTTTTACCGCTTTTAGCAATATTCCAGCAATATCACGCATGGGGACACCAGAAATGGGCTTCACGCGATTGTACCCATCCATGGGGAATCAAACTCCAGGTCTTCGGCTTGACGAGCCAACGCTTTAACCATTGGGCTAACACCGCCCTCACGATCCTGGAATGGCCAAGGGAAGCAACTCTTGACAGTATTTCACCTTGCCTACAGAGAGGATTTGCAACTAGTATTTTTCACCCAAACTTAATAATTGAATCATCTTAAGCATACTAACAGGATCTGCTCATGTTCAGGAATACTTCAATGATATGTTACTTCAGTCATCATCACTATCATCATACACAGAATGTTTTACATAAACTTCTATGTTTGTAAATAATACGGGATTGAAACAAAGACAGAGGATAACATCACACACTCCTCAATATCCAGCAAATCTAGGTGGCAGGTATCTACAACAGTTTTACAATCTCCATCTGAAGACTCTGAAGGCTATCTGACAACACAACAATGCATGTGCACAACACAACACACACCACAACATAACACAAGACACATCAAAACACAGCTACAAGACACAGTTTACAAGGCACTAATGACACATGTATGCTGTGAGCATCAAACCTGTAACTATCACTGATGAAATCCAAACTAGGCAGTGTGTAACACATATATGTGTCTCTTTAGATCGCTTTTCTGATAAATAAAGTGGTTGGGTGAGGTGGATGGGTGGGTGGGTGACTGCGGGTTGGTTGAGCTTAGACATGGATAAGTGGGGCGACAGGGTGGATGGGTGCGGGTGACCGCGACTGCGGATTGGGTGAGCCAGGACATTTGGATAAGCAGGTGGGTGAGGTGGGTGGCTGGCTGAGCCAGACATGGATAAGCGGGTCGGCTGGGTGGATGGCGATCACGTGGTTGGTTGAGTTATGACATGGATAAGTGGGTCGCTGGGTGGATGGGTGGGTGACCGGGCGGTTGGTTGAGCTGGCCACGGGTAAGTGGGTGGGTGACTCACGGTTGGCCGAGCGTGCAGACACGGATAAGTGGGTGGGTGGTTGGCGGACGGGTGGGTGACTGGGTGGTTGGCTGAGCCATGACATAGATAAGTGGATGGGTGGTCTCGATGGCTGGTTGAGCTGTGACATGGATAAGCGGGTGGGTGGGGTGGATGGGTGGGTGACTGGGTGGTTGGTTGAGCATGACATGGATAAGTGGGTGGGTATGATGGGTGACTGGGTGGGTGGATGAGTGATGATGTGGTTGGATGGGGTGACTGTGTGGGTGGTTGAGCTGTGAGATGGATAAAAGGGCGGAGAATGTTGGTGTGGGTGGGTGAGGTGGATGAGTGGGTGCTTGAGTGTTGATATGCGTTCAGGAGGTCCATTGGTCGGTGACTGGGTGGGTGGTTGAGCTGTTACATGGGTAAGTGAGTGGATGAGTGTTGATGTCGCGGGTGATGTGACTGGGTGAGCAGACTGGGTGGTTGTCTGGGTGGGTGGTTGAGCTTTGACACGGATAAGTGGGTAAGTGGGGGTGGATGGGTGGGCGGACTGGGTGGTTGGCTGAGCTTCGGTGACATGGATAAGTGGGGCAAGGGGGGTGGATTGGTGGGTGACTGGGTGGTTAGTTGAGTTGTGACATGGATAAGTGGGTGGATGAGTGCTGATGTGGTTGGATGGGGTGACTGGGGTGGGTGGTTGAGCTGTTACATGGATAAGAGGGCGGAGAATGCTGGTGTGGGTGGTGAGGTGGATGAGTGGGTGCTTGAGTGTTGATATGTGTCTGTGGAGGTCCATTATCGTCGACTGTGTGGGTGGTTGAGCTGTGACACGGGCAAGCAGGTGGATGAGCGTCGATGTGGGTGGGTGATTGGGCTGGTGGGTGACTCAGCAGTTGGTTGAGCCGTTGCCACGGGTAGCGAGTGGATGAGTGTTGATGTGGTGGGTGAGGTGACTGGGTGAGTGAGACTGGGTGGGTGACTTGGGTGGTTGAGCCATGACATGGATAAGCGGCGGGTGGTGGATGGGTGGGTGACCAGGTGGTTGGCTGAGCCATGACATGGATAGTGGGTGGGTGTGGTGGTGATGGGTGGTTATTGAGCTGGCGACATGGATAAGTGGGTGGGTGGGTGGTGGATGGGTGGGTAACTGGGGTGGTTGGCTGAGCTATGACATAGATAAGGGTGGGGGTGGATGGGTGGTAACTGGGTGGTTGGTTGAGCTATGACATGGATAAGTGGGGTGGGTGGTGATGGGTTGGGTGACTGGGTGGTTGGCTGAGTTGTGACATGGATAAGTGGGTGGATGAGTGCTGATGTCGCTGGATGGGGTGGACTGTGGGCGGCTGAGCTGTGAGATGGATAAGAGGGCTGAGAATGGTGGTGTGGGTGCGAGAGTGTTGATATGTGTCTGTGAGGTCCATTATCGCGGATTGGTGGGTGGTTGAGCTGTGACATGGGTAAGGGTGGATAAGCGATGCGCTTCTACAGCCGAAATATAGTTGTGGCATCTATGCCGTTAAAAACGCATGCAGACCTCCCAGACTGGCTGGTCTCTGAACAGGACTGATTACCACGCCATGGAACAGATATGCCTTAGAAAAGTTCTAAATTTTTCGGCACATTTCAATCAAGGATTACAACATTCAGATTTATTCACTGAAGTCTGCACTACTACCATTCCCAGTCTGCAGATTAATCAACGCCAACATCGGAAAATCTTTTGATGCTAAAAATATTTTGGAAACATCCGTGAACCAAGAATCACTAGTGCGTATGCCCACTGTGGTGTATTACAACATTCACCCTGTCTGCGTAGCATAACATTGACACCAGCATGCGTTCCCATCTGTGTAAGCTGTGATGACTGGTCAGCCTAATCTACAAAGACACCACACCGATTACCAACATGCAGCGATTCTAGCTGTGTAAGCTGTGATGCGATTGGTCAGCCTAATCTACAAGCTGCTTTCACCACTGACGACAATCAACATAGAAGCGCGTCTACCACCAGTAAGCTGTGATTTGATTGGTGAGCAATCAGGGACACTGTCCCTTGGCATCACGCGAGACAACAAGAGGTTGCGAGGTGATCGAGCATGTCATTGGTGCGTGGTTAAAGCCGTCACCATCCTAGAGGTCAGGGTCAAGAAGGTCAGAGGTCAGGTAGGTCAGAGGTCATGAAGGTCAGAGGATAGAGTTCAGAATGTGAAGTTACTATGACATTAAACATCATCACAACAATAATGTGTGGATATTTCTTCTGCCACCGCCGCCCCATAGCTGGGAATATTGCCGAAAAGCGCGAAAACTTAACTCACGCCACTCTTCACACCTGTCAGCAATGTTCCAGCTATAGATATTTGAGTTTGGCAAACCAGAGGTTAACAGTATGAGCAAAGCTGTATGATGACACAGCACAGCATTCGGCCATGATTGGCCTTGACATTGATTGGCCTTGACATTGTCCTTGACATTGATTGGCCTTGACATTGTCCTTGACATTGGCCTTACATGCTGGAGAACAACACTATGGTTGACACAAGACAGGAATGTAGAAGGGCAAACATGTCTACAGTGAGGCAGAGGACGGAGCCCAGAAACGTCATGGGAGCATCATCAAGAAAACTACACAAACCACTAGTCACTTTTCAATTTAGAAGAGGTAGTAAGTTAAAAGATAACAGTGGTTACGGCAGCAATGAATGAATTCATTTATTGAACAGAATATCAGCCATATATAATCTAAACCTTGATGGTTTCAGATTCTGATATGATTGTAATTTTGAATTTTCTTTGTGAATGTATGTTTCTTGATACCTGAATTTGTTGAAGGGATAAGATGCAGCTTTCTGTCTGTATGTTATACACAAAACATTTTTTCCAAAATACTCAACCATAAAGAGGTAACTGCATTATAGAGGGGTGTCTGCATTATAGAGGGGTGCACACTATACTCAGTTAGCACTGATCTATGGTAGCCTACAACAGACAGCACTGATCTATGGTAGCCTTCAACAGACAGCACTGATCTATGGTAGCCTACAACAGAGAGCACTGATCTATGGTAGCCTACAACATTGGACAGCACTCGATCTATGGTAGCTCTCTCTAATGTAGACAGCACTGATCTATGGCAGGTAGCCTACAACAGAGCAGCACGGATCTATGATAGCCTTCAACAGACAGCACTGATCTATGGTAGCCTACAACAGAGAGCACTGATCTATGGTAGCCTTACAACAGACAGCACTGATCTATGGTAGCCTTCAACAGACAGCACTGATCTATGGTAGCCTACAACAGACAGCACTGATCTATGGTAGCCTACAACAGACAGCACTGTCTTCTATGGTAGCTCTTCAACAGACAGCACTGATCTTTGGTAGCCTTCAACATACAGCACTGATCTATGGTAGCTCTTCAACAGACAGCACTGATCTATGGTAGCCGATAACAGACAGCACTGATCTATGGTAGCCTTTACAACAGACAGCACTGACCTACATGGTAGCCTACAACAGACAGCACTGATCTATGGTAGCCTTACAACAGACAGCACTGATCTATGGTAGCCTGACAACAGACAGCACTCGACTCCATGGTAGCCTTGCCAACAGACAACACTCTGATCTATGGTAGCTCACAACAGACAGCACCGATCTCATGGTAAGCCCACCAACAGACAGCACTGATCTTGGTAGCCTTCAACAGACAGCATTGATCTATGGTAGCCTTCAACAGACAGCACTGACCTATGGTAGCCTACAACAGACAACACTGATCTTTGGTAGCCTACAACAGACAGCATTGATCTATGGTAGCCTTCAACAGACAGCACTGATCTATGGTAGCCTACAAAATACAGTACTGATTCTATGGTAGCCTCTCAACAGACAGCACTGATCTATGGTAGCCTACAACATACACCCCTTGATCATGATGTGATCCCACCCCTGGGTGATGACATGATCCCACCCCTGGGTCATGATGTGATCCCAACCCTGGGTTGTGATGTGATCCCACCACTAACACAATGTAGAGAGACAACGCCCCACAAGATTCCCACCCTGGTGATGACGATCCCATCCCCCTGGGTCAGTGATGTGATCCCACCACTAACACAATGTAGAGAGAGACAAGGTCCCATAAGAATCCACCCCTGGGTGATGACGATATCCCATCCCTTGGGTCAGGATCAGATTCCACCCCAGGTCATGACGCTGATCCCACCCCAGGGTCATGACGCTTGATCCCATTCCAGGGTCATGACGCGATCCCACCCCAGGCTTCATGACGGATCCCACCCTCTGGTCATGACGCGATCCCACCCCTGGGTCATGACGGATACCACCCCTAGGGACATGACGGATACCACCCAGGGACATGACGCGATCCCACCCCAGGGTCATGACGCGATCCCACCCCAGGGTCATGACGGATCCCACTACCCCAGGGTACATGACGCTATCCCACCCCAGGTCATGATGTGATCCTACCCTTCAGGGACATGACATGATCCCACCCCAGGGTCATGACGTGATCCCACCTCTGGGTCATGACGCGGATCCCACTCAGGGACATGACGCGATCCCACCCCAGGACATGACGGATCCAACCCCCAGGGTCATGACGTTTGATCCCACCCCTGGTCATGACGTGATCATCCCACCCTGGTCATGACGCGGATCCCACCTACAGGGTCATCAAGGATTTGATCCCATCCTAGGGTCATGACGTGATCCCAACTCCCCAGTTTCATGATCGATCCCACCCTGGGTCATGACGATCCCACCCCAGGGTCATGACGGATAGCACCCCAGGACATGACGGATCCCACTCCTGTGGGTCATGACGGATCCCCCACCCCAGGGTCATGACTTGATCCCACCCCAGGGTCATATGATGATCCTAACCCTGGGCTGTGATGTGATCCCACCACTAACACAATGTAGAGAGACAACGTCCGGCCACAAGATTCCACCCCTGGTGATGACGTGATCCCATCCCTCGGGTCATGATGTGATCCCACCACTAACACAATGTAGAGACAAGGTCCCGACAAGAATCCACCCTGGGTGATGACGATATCCCATCCTTGGGTCGCTGACCAGATTCCACCCCTAGGTCATGACGACGGATCCCACCCCAGGGTCATGACGTGATCCATCCCCCAGGGTCATGACGTGATCCCACCCCAGGGTCATGATCCCACCCCTGGGTCATGACGGATCCCACCCCTGGGTCATGACGTGTGATCCCACTCCTGGGACATGACGTGATCCCACCCTTAGGTCATGGACGGATCCCACCCCAGGGTCATGACGCGGGATCCCATCCCAGGGTCATGACGTGATCCCACCCCAGGGTCATGACCTGATCCCACCCCAGGGTCATGACGTGATCCCACCCTCAGGGACATGACGTGATCCCACTCCAGGGTCATGACGCGGATCCCCACCCCAGGGTCAATGACGCAGGATCCCACCCCTGGGTCATGACGCGGATCCCACCCCAGGGTCATGACGTGATCCCACCCCAGGGATCATGACGTGATCCCACCCCCAGGGTCATGACGATCCCACCCTATGGGTCATGACGATCCCACCTCAGGGTCATGACGACAGGATCCCACCCCAGGGTCATGACGCGATCCCACCCCAGGGTCATGATGGATCCCACCCCAGGGTCATGACGTGATCCCACCCCAGGGCCAAGTGATCGGGTCATGGCGTGATCCCACCCCCAGGGTCATGATGTGATCCCACCTCAGGGTCATGACGTGATCCCATCCCAGGGTCATGACGTGATCCCACCCCAGGGTCATGACGGATCCCACCTCAGGGTCATGACGTTGATCCCACCCCAGGGTCATGACGTGATCCCACCTCTAGGGTCATGATGCGTGATCCCACCCCAGGGTCATGACGTGATCCCACCCCAGGGTCATGACTTGATGTGATTGACCCCAGGGTCATGACGTGATCCCACCCAGGGTCATGACGCGATCCCACCTCAGGGTCATGACGCGATCCTGCACCCCAGGGTCATGACGTCATCCCACCTCAGGGTCATGACGTGATCCCACCCCAGGGTCATGACGTGATCCCACCCCAGGGTCATGACGTGATCCCACCTCAGGGTCATGACGTGATCCCACCCCTGGGTCATGACGTGATCCCACCCCAGGGTCATGACGTGATCCCACCTCAGGGTCATGACGTGATCCCACCCCAGGGTCATGACGTGATCCCACCCAGGGTCATGACGTGATCCCACCCCAGGGTCATGACGTGATCCCACCCTCCAGGGTCATGACGTGATGATCCCAGGGTCATGATCGTGATCCCACCCCAGGGTCATGACGTGATCCCACCCCAGGGTCATGACGTGATCCCACCCCAGGGTCATGGACGTGATCCCACCCCAGGGTCATGACTTGATCCCACCCCAGGGTCATGGTGATGGATCCCACCCTGGGTCATGGGTCATGACGTGATCCCACCTCAGGGTCATGACGGATCCCACCCCAGGGGTCATGACGTGATCCCACCCTGGGTCATGACGTGATCCCACCCAGGGTCATGACGTGATCCCATCCCAGGGTCATGACGTGATCCCATCCCAGGGTCATGACGCGATCCCATCCCCTGGGTCATGAGGATCCCACCACAGGGTCATGACGTGATCCCACCACTGGGTCATGACGTGATCCCACCACTGGGTCATGACGTGATCCCACCCCAGGGTCATGATGTGATCCCATCCCAGGGTCATGACGTGATCCCACCCCAGGGTCATGACATTATCCCACCTCAGGGTCATGACGCGGATCCCACCCAGGGTCATGACGTGATCCCACCTCTGGGTCATGACGTGATCCCATCCCAGGGTCATGACGTGATCCCATCCCAGGGTCAGTGACATTATCCCACCCCAGGGTCATGAAGGACGGATGCCACCCCAGGGTCATGACGTGATCCCACTCCCTGGGTCATGACGTGATCCCACCCCCAGGGTCATGAAGTGATCCCACCCTAGGTCATGACGGATCCCACCACTAAGTTGGCTACTAACACAATGTGGAGAGACGAGGGCCGACCTTGGATGCAGCAGAGACGACAGGGAGGACTATGTTGCTACCACTAGTGCTACCACACAGAAACCATATCTCAACAAAATCCACTCAAAGTAGGGACAAAACAAGGCAAAGGGGAATCTACTGACTAAACACAAGCAATGTAGGGAGAAAGGATTCCACACTTATCTCACCACTGTTATGCACCCTTATTAAGTAGGAGATGCTAAATCCAGACATTTTCCCAAGCAATGTTTTTGTGGACCAGAAGGAATGTAAATTACCTCTGAACTCATATATATTTATGTATGGAGGCCTGTGCATGATAGCATCCTTACCAGGGACTGATGTAAAGGACAATGTCCCTTAAGCTGCCGCTGTGTGTGTGTGTGCACTCAACCAGGTGGCCACCCTCACCACCCACAGCCACAGATACTGGAGACTTAGCCCAAACCACAATCACCACCAACAGTGTTGTTGTCTCAAGTACTTATCCAAGAGATTCTCATACAACTGTAACTCAGACAGCAGTGGTACCAGTGTTGTGATCAAGCTACACTTACTTTGTGACTTGCTTAGCCTTCTGTTGATGTGCTGTAGGCGTGGCACCACGCCTGTCCTGGAGATGACCCTCTCGGTCACTGGTGGGGTGGTCTCACGGCTGGAGGATGCATGGCTTGACCTACAAGTGACAGTTTACACTATAAACTGATAGAAATGAGTGGATGACCCTCGTGTACTTATGGGGTGGTCTCACGGTTGAGGATGCATGGCTTGACCTACAAGTAACAGTCTTACACTATAAAATGATAGAAATGAGTGGATGACCCTACATTATGCGTGGGGGTGGTCTCACGGCTGGAGGATGCATGGTTTGACCCTACAAAGAGACAGTTTACACTACAAACTGATGAAATGAGTGGATGACCCTCGTGTACTATGGGGGACGAAAACAACATGAAACAACATGAAACACAACCAAAACATTCAACTCATAAAACATTCAACACAACACAACAATGAATACCCATCTGGGACCAATGAATAATGGGCCAATCAATATAGTGCACTGGGACCAACTGAATAGCACTGGGACCAACTGAATAGTGCACTGGGACCAATGAATAGTGATCTGTCACCTATGAATAGGAGTTAACACATTAAATTAATGATAGTTGCATTTTAAGCTGGGACAGGTATTAAATGCCAGTAAACTAACATTCAGTTTTAAAAGCTTTTTCTTTGCACTAGCATAATGCCCAGACACTTTAACAATGAAAATATGAATCCTACAATAAAATCAAATTGAAAATACAGTAAAACTATGTTCATAAAGGAAATGTTAATACTGTCATGTCCACTTGCTGTATATTCTAATTGATTTGGCGTATAACAAACTTTGGCTATAACTCACAAAACTTCATGGTCCCTCTTAACTTTCGTTATAGCAGTAGTTTACTGTGATTATTTCTAACTTGTCCATGTTCTTGTAGTGTTTACAAAACTAGGCTTACATCTATACAGACATGCATGAGATATATTAACATATTAATGACTACAGAAAATAAGTCTTGACAGGATAATCATGACTTTACCACAGATTTTGATGGTAATTTTAGCTCACGAGAAAGTTTTGTACTTTTACTGAAGAATATACATATATATGGCATTAATCTATCCATGAATGCCCCGATAGTCAGTCTTACCCTTGAGTCTGGGTCCTTCCTTCTTAGCTAGTTCTTGGACGTTCAGAAGAAATGCCACGGGTCAAGGCTGGTCTCAGTTGCCAAGGCTTATGGGGAGCATTATTAGAAGCTGGCTGACTTCCTTTGTGAGCTGGCACTCGGCACTGGCGGAAGCTGGAACACAGCGGATAACATGGAGTGAGTGAGCTGAGAGTTTAGTTTCACGCTGCACTCAGCAATATTCCAGCTACATGGCAGCAGTCTGTTAATAATCAACTCTGGACCAGACAATCCAGTGATCAACAGCATGAGCATCGATCTCACGTAATGGGAACCAGGAGTGACATGTGTCAACCAAGTCTCGCGAGCCTGACCACCCGATCCAATTAGTCAGCCTCTTATGACAAGCATGGGTTACTGAAGATCAATTCTAACCCAGATCTTCATGGGTTGACAACATGGAATAAAGAATAAGAGTTATGCAGATCACCTGAAAACATCGTGACATTCAGAAGGACATAAAACACACAGTGAGATTTCTTAACTGTCTTAGTAGACTTCACGATTGGTCCATCACAGGCCCGAACATAGAGTGACATTTTTACAGTCTCAGTAAACTACACAGGTCCATCACAGGTCTAGAATATAGAGTGAGATTTCTTACTGTCTCAGTAAACTACCGGAGGTCCATAACATTTCCAGAACATAGAGTGACATTTCATGTGTCTCAGTAAACTATCTCCAGTAAACTCACGAGGGAGGTCCATCACAGGCCGGAAAATCGAACATAGAGTGACGGCTTTGTTTACTGTCTCAGTAAACTCACAGGATGGTGTGTTTGAGTCCATCACAGGCCCGGAACATAGAGTGAAATTTCTTACTGTCTCAGTAAACTACGGAGGTCCATCACAGGCCCGATATCATTTGGATATCTTTGGATACTCACCTCGTTGACCAGAGGATTGGCTTTTTAGAGCTGAAAAATAACAAAAATGCATGTAACATCATAGGATATCCAGGGTGACACTCACACTGACTCACAAATACATGTAACATCATCATAGGATATCCAGGTGACTCACACTGACTCACAAATACATGTAATACCATAGGATATCCAGGTGACTCACACTGACTCACAAATACATGTAACATCATAGGATATCCAGGTGACACTCACACTGACTCACAAATACATGTAATACCATATCAGGTGGATATACAGGTGACACTCACACTGACTCACAAATACATGTCATATAATAGGATATACAGGTGACTCACACTGACTCACAAATACATGTAACACCATAGGATATCCAGGTGACTCACTCACGAAATACATGACTCACATAGGATATCAGACTAACATCATCCCATAGGATAACCAGGTGCACTCGACCCAACACTCATAGGATATCCATCATAGGATCATCCAGGTGACATGCCATCACTGACTCACAAATACATGTCACATCATCAGGTGACTCCACACTCCTGAAATACATGTAATGCACCATAGGATATCGAATTTGACACTCACACTGCAGGTGACACTGAGTCAGTGAGTGAATGACTCACAAATAGAGCATTAGTTTTGACTCCACAAAATCAATATTCAGGTAGCAACATCACAGCTGGGGACATCCAGGAAATGAGGCTTACATGTAACACATTGTACCCATGTGATCAATCACTGACTCCACCATTAGCAATATCGCTAGGATAACCCAGGTGACTCCACGCGCAAAATACATGCCCGGATATCCAGGACATCACACTGACTCCTACAAAATGCTTTAGCCACTGGCTACCCAACCACCCCTTCACAGGACTGACACGGACTCCACAAGATAGCCAGTACACAAAGTGACACTCACTGTGAGACCAGGATTCCAGGTGGCCGTTTCACACCACATCTGGTGTGAAGGATATCAGTGAGCCTGTGATCACACCGCCTGATTGAGGGAGTGAGTCTAGGATCACTCCACCACTCACAAATACATGATTGAGGGAGCATGTAACATCATAGGATAACCAGGTGATCACACCACCTGATGTTTTGCTGTTTTTCAACTTGATTCTAATTTCTGTCGGATGTAATGACATGGTGTTATGTACAGTGATGGTAACATCATTCAGTATTCCCTGCTTCTACATGCTCCTGCCACAGCTGTTACCCACCCTGTCACGTCCCACCCAGAACTCTCTTGGCTCTCCTCACTGTAGCCTGTAGCTTCCAGCCATTGTAACAATGTCTGCACTCACACTGGGATACTGTGATTTGAGCTTGGATTTCACTGAACATGAAACAAAACAGATACTCATTACTTGGTAAACTGAGGGGAAACATGGCGGGTGTGCGTTTTCTGTTGTCATGGATACCGCGACTTTAGCTTGGTCTTCACTGAACATGAAACAAAATGGGAACTGGCATTACCAACAGCGCTAGCTTATAGACGAACAGTGATGCATGCAATTGAGACAATTCTATTGTAACAGTTGTTTGTAATTGAATCTGTTGTTTTCAAGAGAACTAACTGTTACCAGGCAACAGCTGTTGTTCGGCACAAGAACTTCTGAAGAATTACCCCTCTCACACTTATGAGTGACCATTCAATATTGATGTCAAGTCTTTAATTTTGTATATGCTGGTAAGTACATTGACCATGTTCACTGGCTACTAAAATCAGTAATACCCCAATGCTGGCAATAATAGACTGAAACATGCCAAATCACCACCTGAATTGATTGCTAGGCCCTCACTGTGAAAATATATCTTGCAAAAATAATATGGGTAAAATGATAAAGTTGTATGCACAAAGAGGTTTCAAAGGTGTAAGTAAGCCATTAGTTGTTTAGGCTTCTAAAGTTTTGGTGCCAGTAAGTCATGTATTCATACCAGTAAATGTGCTTTCTGCATGGGAAAAATGTACTCAAACAACCAGTTCCCAAAGTAAACAGAAGCCACAGTATCATATTGTACTTTTCTTTAATTTCACCATTAAAAAGAGTAACATGTATGGAATATGTTTTCTGTGTGGGTTTTTCTCGCATAAAAATTGAAAGATAAAAAATGTTGGGTAGTCAAATAAGAATTCACAGTCAGCAAGTTGTTGAGGGGTTGTCAAATATTTACACAGAGAGGCAGTGTAAGGGAGTAAGAGAACAGCAGCGTATTCTCCGCGCATTACCTCCTTCTACTCGCCTCAGACAACTGGGCGGTTGTGCTGTTGGTTGTGGAGAAGTAGCTGAAGAGTGAGTGATTCCAGCTCTGGCGCCCGGTGTCCGCCCGGGCGTGTTGTGATGGGGACTGAGGTGGGAGGAACTGGAGTGGGTGGAACTAGAGTGGGAGGTTGTCTCATGATGCCCGAGGGAGTGGCTTGGGGACACTGTCCGAGCTTGTGCTGTGTGAGCCATGAGCTGGCTGAAAGCCCAGATCGATGAGCTGCTCCTTGGCTTCCTCCTCATTGTTGCTGCACCTGCAAAGGTCAAATTGTATCTATGCTAACTGGGATGTAGCTAAGAGACTCTGTGCTAGAAAACTATGGCAACTGGAATGCATCTATGGCAACCCATTTCTCTTCCCACAGGAGGTTACTTTGTCATATCTTCCTACAACCTCAGTTCTAATACGGCCCTTTCATGGTGCGAGTGTTCAGGATTCGTGATTGGTTGCAATCAGATTTAGATGTGCAATCAGCGCACGTTGTTTCAAAAGTGATCATTCGCAAGTAAGGCCTCGGTTATTTCCGTATGCTTTGCAAACGTTTCTTATAGACAGAACTCATTCATGTAAATGGCGGATCAATGGCATCTCCATCCCCTCGTTGACAACGGACAAGCTAGCCATTAAATGTCTTGTGTGTCACATCAACACAAGTTCCTGGCAGAGGAGGGATATTTGTGACCCAACATTTGCTTGTATTAGTCAAGTTGATGTAACACGTGTTCTGATTGGACAAAAGAAGGGAGATAATTCGTGTTGCGATTTTTGCCGCTAGGGGGATTTTACGAGAACCGGGAAATATGACCGTGTTAGAACAGAGGTTTGGTAGGAAGAAATGACAAGTAACCTCTGTGGGAAGAGAATGTTGGCAACCGGGATGTAACTCACATGGCCAGTATGTCCTGGATGACCCCAGTTGTGGCAACTGGAAACATGTCCTTGAGCCGTGAAGCTGATGTGTTGGTCAGCTGAGGAACAGCTTGCTCCTTGGTGTAGCCCTTGCCCAGCAGCTCCTACACTGTGTGTGGCCATAGTGGTTGTGGTTCCTGTTGTCAACAAAGCGTTATTTCAGAAGCTAAATACATGCATCCAGACAGGGGGAAAAGGGAAAGGAGAAAAGGAGTGGAGAATGGGAGGGAATGAAAAGAGGAGGGTACAGCAGGGGAAGGGAGGAGAAGGGTAAATATAAGAGGAGCTGTTAGAACGGGGAGGGAAGTTAGGGAAAGGGAAGGGGAGGGAATTAAAGAGGAGGGTAGAACGTGGGAGGGAGGGAAGTGAGACGGAGGGTAAATAGAAATGGAGGGTACAACGGGGAGAGGGAAGTGAGAAGGGTAAATAGAAATGGAGGGTAGAACAGGAGAGGGAAGTGAGAAGGGTAAATTAAAGAGGGTAAATGAGAGAAGGGTAGAATTGAAGGGGGAGGGGCATGAGGAAGGGTAAATAGTAAAAATGGAGGGTAGAAGGGAGAGGGAGGGAGGGTGAGAAGGGTAAATGGAGGAGGTAAATGGAGGGTAGGCAGAGCGAGGGAGAGGGAAGTGAGAAGGGTAAATAGAAATGGAGGGTAGAACGGGAGAGAGGGAAGTGAGAAGGGTAAATTAAAGAGGAGGGTAGAACGGGAGAGGGAAGTGAGAAGGGTAAATGGAAATGGAGGGTAGAACAGGAGAGGGAAGTGAGAAGGGTAAATTAAGAGGAGGGTAGAATGGGGGAGGGTGTAGAGAAGGGTAAATTGAAGAGGGGCAGAACAGGAGAGGGAAGTGAGAATGGTAGATGGAAGAGGAGGGTAGAACGGGAGGGAGTTGAGGACCCTGATGTCATGATGATCACAGAACATGTACACTACACAACCCTGTGCACTTAAAAGAACCCACAAATTCGTTGGTATATGACCAGATGGTGGCCACATGAATATCGCGTACAAACACCTAGTTGCGGGTACAGCAGCGTGCAGTAAACTTGGACAAAGTACTGTGACTATGTGTCCCAGTCCACCCAGCTGTGAATGGGTACATCGATGAGGATGAGAAAGCCGCTTAATAACTTTCGGGCTTCTAGTGACTGCAAGAGTTGTATTCTCCCTCCCTTTTTGTATATAATAGACTAATTATATCCAGAACAAGCAGCAAGTTCCACAGACCTTCAGGATGTTCACAGAACTGGGCACTTTGTGGTGCCTTGGCTACCTGGGTAGCTCTTGTTTTAAGGCAGTGACTAGTTCAACGTACAGCGTGAGGTGATATGGGGTTTAACGTCGTAGCTTTGAGGAGATTTCGCCCATTGACGCATCGGCATGTGTATGTGCATGTGCAGCTGCTTGTACTAGCCCAGACTTCAGCTGGTTTTATAGTGCTAGCCCACTGAGATACAATGCTGCAGTGAAGCATGAATACCCCACTCTCAGACACGTTATACTGACTCGAGGCCGACCAGTCCTTGTTGTACCCATTAACACCGAAAGCCAGGCAGTGACCAACAAGTACCATATTTTAACGTCTTTTGGTATGACGCTGTCGGGATCGAACCCGCGACCTTCCGGCTCTTTGGGCAGACGCTCTAACCACTACACCACGGAGGCGGTCTCAATGTACAGCGTGATACTTACTTGATGAGTGTCTGCTTGATGACCGTTTCAGGACATGTGGGCAGTATAGCCTTGACCTTCTGTGCAATAGCATTGTCCGCTCTTGAAAGTGAAGTATCTTGATTCTAGTACAATGACACAAAAGTGATATGGTTTGGATGCGAAGTGTGATAAC